AAACAAACCCAGGCTGCCATTGCCAGTAATGTGTCACGTTCCTTTATTAAATCACTCTTTTTCTGCCCCAGTTATGTGTCCTGTGTTTATTATTCCTGATCAGTGGATTGGATCACCTACAGCTGTTATGACTTGTACGTACTTTGCTTCATGTATTGCTGGCACCAGGCAGAGTTACTGAAAAGCAACTCCCTTTGCTCAGCAGCTTGCGTGTCTCCTTTGGCAGTGGGACGCGGGTGTAGGGACAACCCCGGACCTTTTACGCTTGGTTTTGGCACGTGTAAAAAACTACTGGCAGATGAGGAAGGTCAGAGCCTTGTATGTGAGTGTGGGCCACCCCCTTGCAGCCAGCCCAGAGAGCAAGCACAAAGCACACATTTCTGCTCACGTAAATGAACAGGTTTTGTTTAGAGTTATAGTGAAGAAGACCAGGCTCCTCAAATAAAAGAATTTCTCATGCCCGGGCTGAGCACCACTAGTTCAAGCAGTGTGTGAATATTCAACTCACTGTACTTAAGCCTGCCCCATTTACACATTCCTTTGCTTAGTGAGAAAAGCAGCAGCTCAGAAGAGAGAGCAAATTGGTGTGGCCCAGGCAGATGAGCATGCAAGGAAATGTCCTGGATAACTTTGTATGGAAGATGGTGCTGGATGGCAACAGGGCTTCAAACCAGACCTGAAGTTTTCCAACCCAAGGCTTACCTAGTGAGAGAAGTGCCACGAGCCACAAAGGCGGTGTGTGACTCGGGGCCTCCTGGGACAGACAGGGTTAGTGCACTGAAGACTGCTTTGTGATAGCGGAAAGCCACATTATTCAGGAAAGGGAAAAAAATTCCCACCTTTCCTCCACATGTCAGGCAAGATCTCTTTTATCATCTGGACTGCAGATGAGAGCTCTGATCCTCTCCCCTCCTGCACAGAGATAATGCTTCAACTCAGTTCTCCCGCTACTAGGGCTGGGAGATGCTTAAAATTCCCTCTGATTGACTGTGATCAGCTTCATCCTTCTTCTTTGAGACATGAACCCCATTTCCATGAAAAAAACCCCAAAACTAACCACAGTGTAGTTCCAGCAACATTTTTTAAGGTCAAAAGCAGACTGATAGTATGTATATTCACCACTCAGGTTCTGTGGTCATAGACCTGGTTTAACAGCTCAGTCCTTTGATACAAAATCAGCTCAGATCATTGAAGGAGAGGACTGATGAAACATGGAAGCAGAAAAAGCATCCAGCAAAGCCAGCATATGTACTCTTCCAAGTGGGTAAATAAACATGAATAAAACCAATCCCATTGTAAACTGTATCCCATCTGTAATCCCATCTGTAAACTGTAGTAAGTATTGCAAAACTACAAAAAAAAAACAAAAACCAAAACCCAAAACCAAAACGCCAACACACCAACCAGCCCAAATTCTTCACTTATAGCAAGCTTTAGAAAAATCTCCCATACTGCAAACCTCCCTGGGAAGGAACCAGCAGTGCACTAGTTAACACTCTTTCTAGTGCATGTTGGTTGTGAAAGGTTTAGAGAATAGGAAAAGCTTTCTGTGAGGCTTTACACAGAAGGAGAGACAAAGAGGAGAGACTGTACGACCTGCCTTATCTGTGGAAATTCTCCCTCCAAAAGAAACAAGCAGGCTTTACAAAGTCAGATCAGAAAATGCCACTATTAACCTGATTTCAGTTCTGGGGCATTACTTTCGTCTGGTAAGAGAGCACAGAGTTTTTATTTTGCACCAAATCCCCATGTTTGGGTTCTGATAAAGGTCATGGAAATATAAACGCTTGTCCAGCAATGCCCCCGTACAGGGCTTTTTCCAAAGAACAAGCTGGATAGAGATCTATCTTAGCTAGTGACCTAACTTGTAACAGTATCCTTTAATGTGACAGGAAAAGCCCTCTTGCCTTGCTGCAAAGCACCACGGGTGTGTCCATGTCACCTCAGTTCTCACCCACACCAAATAACACATTTTTCTACACAGTGGTGTCTTCCAGCACATTTCAGTGCCCCCATCATCCCAGCATCTGAGATCCTTTCTCATGAAATCAGTGGCATAGGAAAACTACTTGGTGACCTTTCAGGACTTTGCCAGTTTTTATTTTTCTGGAATCAATGTTTGGGGGCTGGATTTTTTTTTAAATTTAGTGACAACAATGAACAGTGAACAATTTTGGGTGGAAAGTGTGGCAGTAATTCTTTAAATCTGACGTTACTTAAAATAGAAATTCAGTATAGATTGGATCAGTGCAACAACCAATCCTCTATCCCTTAGATGGACAGGATGCTGAAAATGCCCCTTCTGTGTCATGGATTTGTTTCTTGGAGCAGCTTGTCCTGGGTCTATCCCACTGGGTTTAGCAAACCCCCTCCATCATCTTTGGATCTCACTTTATGGAATAAGGACAGTGGCACCATGTAATTTTTAATGTGTGTGAATGCAGTGCAGTTTGACTGATCACCTGCCAGCACCCTTCCTTGTCACTTCTCAAGTGTCCCCTGCCCAGATTTAAAACTCCAGCACTATTCACCACTGAGCTCTTCAAGGGGGCACAATCTATATACACCACCTTCAGCATAAAGATGCCTGTCTACTGTAGCACAAATAACAACTGCCAAATAAATAAGACTTCTGTGCCGAGTTATTTTACAAAGGCTTGGTAACAGGCTGCAGCCTGTGTATCATTATCAGACCCATCTAGGCACAGACCGAACCTGTGAGTCACAATTACTGTAGGACAAACGGTAATTGTGCTTCAGAGCAGCTCACCCTTGTAAGAAATGTCAGCGGCTGCCAGCACACAGCAAAGCTCCGCAGCTGGCACCTCTGCCATCCTTCAAACATACACTTAGCAGGGGATTAGGCTCTGTCACACTGTCTGCATCATCTCTCTCACTCACTCTTTCACCACCTTTTTTGTATCCTCTAGACCACACTGAATTACAACTTACTGTAAACACACTGGCGGGACTTCTGACCTTACGCTTTTTGTGAGTCGGCTGTTCACTACCTCTCCTTTTTTAGCCTGTAGAAATCCATTCCCTATTTTGATTTTTGCCTGAATCACCAAGTGACATCTACAATTCACTTCCTCAGGCAAGAGCAAATACCCTCAAGTGCTAACAGCAATAAACACTGTGGGCTGCTGCCCGGCCCTGCAGTGACTGCAGCTTTTGTTTAAAGGCACCACAGGGTTGCTGGCCTTACAACATCTTTCTTCATCCTTGTAAATTTATAAAGTTTTTATTTACATCAAACATGTCACCTTTCCCCCAAACAAAAACTCTGTAAAAATGGTTCCACAGGGTGTGTTAAACCTTTTACATACATTAAAAAAAAAAAAAAAGAAGAACAAAAGAAAAAAAAAAGAAAAAAGGAGAAAAAAAGCAGGATTGGGCTGTGCCACAGATTTTACTTCAAAGGATCTCTTTCACAGTCCTTTTAGGGCTTCTGAACAGGAGTTTTATGAATTTATAACAACATATATGTCAGGCAGACACTGGAATTCAAATTATTTTAACTCCAACTAAAGGCCTGTGTTCAAATGTCTGAATGGATTCCTTTGTGGCTCAGATTTTTGGAGTCTTAAAACTGCAAAGACCATATCTTAATTGTAAATATTCCATTTCTTAGTCATTCTGCTGTCAAAGGACTGCTGGAGAGAAAATCTGCGCAAGTGTGGTCCAGGAGGAAGCAGAAATCAGAAGAGTTTTGTTGCAGAGGTGGGGATGTGTAGAGCCAAACACACTTGCTAAGCCTGGCATTTCTGTTATGCATCTGGATATTTGGTACCAAAAACGCAAAAACCCCAAATGAATATTGGCATTGCTTAGCAAGTGCCCACATGGCAATGTGAACTGTCTTGGGCCTGGTTGCTGAGGATCTATGAGACTTATTTACTGTTATGTGGGATATTTTTCTTGGTTTCCTTTCAATTCAGTACAGAGTCTGGGTGCCTGCTGGGCTGGAAGGTTACTGCAGAGCTCTGTATTTGCCTCGCTGGTTGTTACTGCTGATTTCTTAACTGTCAGAATGGCTCACAAATGGCTGGCTTATTGGGCTAGTCAGTTGGATGACTGTTAAAGAAAAAAACATTATTTCAACATTATTTCACAATGAACCCTGCAATTGTTTCCTTGGAAACTCTTTTTCAAGCATTTGCTGAAGACAATAAGTATTTCCATGTGGATATATCAGCAATGCAGTGTACAAATAACCTGTCAGGAATCAGGCATGAGAATGGCTTTACGTTTTAGGAATGTCTGATTGATTTTTAGAAACATGATGGCTATTTTCACTTAATGAACCCCTCAGGGAAAAAAAAAAAAATCTCAATTCCAGTTTCACTATCTAGGCACTACAAGAGCCTTCCCCACTGCTGCATTTCTAGCAGCTGACTGATCCCTCTCTTGAGTGCCCTGAAAGTCTCAGAGATGGCTCATGCACAGGAATGAACTTCCATCCTGTTCCATGCAGAAACAGCCATCAATACTTTGCTGAAGCTGCACCTCCCATGCATGTGCCAACACAAATACATCAGCTAGGAAGGAGAACCCTGGCTAAGGCAGGGCTTGACTAAATAATCTGACCTTTTCCTTGGCTTGGCTCTGAAATTTATGTGAAACATATCAAACCACCCCATTCTGGCTACCTGCTGTGCCCAAGGCCATTGGTCAGCACAAAGAAATTATTTTTTAAATTAACCCTCTGTAGTGTTTCCTTAAAACTTTAAATGCTAGTTAATGGTAGGGTACCCAAACATGAGATCCAGGGAGCAAAGCACACCTAACATTTGGGGTAGCACATACTCAGGAAAGTTGTTTAGTCCTGGAATCACATTTATGCATCTGCAATTAGCCAAGCCAACTTTCCAACAGGATATATTCCTGAGGCTGACACTAAGCCCCATGTGCTTTCTTCAGTTACATTCTCTTACAATTAGTTCTTCTGTGCTTCCTTCTCATTCTCCCAAAGATTAAGGACAAGCAGCATCTTACTGTGACTCAGTGAGAAACTTTAATTCCGCACATTTCTCCACATTGAAAGGAAGATTTAGCAGCAACCTGATTTTAATAAAATTTCTTTCCCACCTTTACATGAAGTGAAATAACCACAACTGCTCTTTTTGCATTGCTCTCCACCTCAAAAGATTCCAGATCCCTTCTGCAGCCCAGCAGAGCCTTTACTATTCTTGCACTAAGAAGTTGATAAGGGCAGTTCGGGGAGACAGAAAGGCCTTTTTAATGGCTCGTCCCTGGAGATGCTTGACTCCAAGTTCACTCTGAAGAACAAGCTCATGGACTTCTTCAAAATTGCGGGCTGCTTGCTGAGGCACAAAAACTTTGCCACAAGCTTTGTTATTGATCTGAAAGAGAGACACAAAACCAAGAAAAAACAGAAATTTAACTAGACTGTTTCCTACCATTTAATTTCCCGTATCCAACCCATCTTTTTACAAAAGGAAAGGGGGAAAGTGGAATAAACTCTCTTTTCTCCAAACCCACACTTTCTAAGCAGAGGATAAAATTCTTCCTATCTCCTGTCCACCATAAGATAAAACTCTGATTCATGATACTCAAAAAAAAACTGGAGAAGTGGCCACAGGAAGTCTCAGTTTTGAAGACAGCAAGCAGCATGTGACTGTGCAATGCAGTGATCTTTTAATTTTAAAAACGTGACAGTCACATAAGCTGCATAAAATGTCTGGTGGGAGTCTTGGTTTGTACATACTTCTGGGCAGCAACTTGGATTCTTTACAGCTAAGCAATGTCTTGCAGAGATTCAAATGGAAGATTTATTATTTTTAGAAAAATAGGCTTTAACTTAGTGTATGTTGCACTCATTGTTATATGTTGCACTCAACCCATGGCTCATTAATCCAACACTGACCACAAAGACGTCAGCTACTCACTAAGTAACATTTTCTGTGTGTGGCTGGTTTTCAGTGCAGCTCCCATGCTGGTTTTGCTTCAGTAGGGCAGAATCACGTAAGTAAAACTGAGTAAGTCCTTTGGTGGGAAGCACCTTAGTTTATAAAATGGTTTTATAAATCCTTTCTGTCATCCAATAAGAGTAGATAATGGAGACAGACTACAGAGCCTGACTGAGTACCTTTCTGGAGCTGGCATAAAATTAATTATTGAAAAAGGCTTTCAGATTTATATTAACTATTTTCAGGGGCTTAATGTGAAGAATGTCAATCACACATTTTAGAAAATGAAATAATTTGAATTTTTTTATGCAGTTAATCACATTACTTGCATATTAATCTATTTAGGTACTGCAGATTTCTGACCCTTAGGCATAATTTCAAGGAGATTTCAATCATCTAAAAGAAACACATATTGCTTCATGCAGTTTGGACATAAAATTGTTCACGACTTGGTTTTCACCTGGATTTTATCCAGGATATCTGTATGCAACATATGACAAATGAGAAAGATCTAGTTCACTTACCTAGTTTGTATTTGTTTTATTGAAAATAAAATAATTTGTGCAATTCTCTGAGAGAGGAAGTTGGGACAGATTTTTAAGGAACAAGATGGAGTCTCAAATGCAGGAAGGATGAGCCTCTTCTGTTTTTTGACTAGTCTTGACAATAATTTGCAGTGATTATGTTAGTAGGCTTTTAATTACTCCTACATGCATCCATAACATGGCATCATAAAAGGCTGGCTGTGTTAAACTTTGCCTTTAGCATCTCGTGTAAAGTAAAAATCCTTGAAAAAATAGGAGTTAATTTTTAAAGTTTTTGTGAAAAATAAATCCAAACAGTTCTTTTTGACAAGACACTTCAGAGAAAAAATGCATTCCACAGGAAAAAGAAAACAGTAAAATCCAAACAGATACAGTTTTAGTGGGAATATAAAGCAAGCCTCTCATCTTGCTGCTAGAACACGCAGCCTGCAGTTCAAAGCTATGCCTGCCTAGTTAAAATGTCATTCACTATCCTCCATCATGCAAATTAATATGTCCCAGTGGATGGATGTTGGCAGGGGGAAATTTTCCACAACTAGTCTATTTGGTGCTGTTCTCAATAGAAAACCCAAGCAGCCTAAATCAACTTGGTAAATAAATGACTGCTAGTGGTTGTGTTTTCCTAGAAAGGTTGAGAAGCCTGGGCGACCTGGCACTGTGTACCTTCCCACAGCAGATCTCCACCTTCCCACAGGGTGTCTCCTGATCTTCCCACACTATGCTCTGAGCCGGGACCATAACTCTTATCAAACAGCAGACTGGTCATGGTTTCACCACGTGTTTGAGCATGGCTTTCATTAGATTGTAGGTATCATGAAGCATTTTAACACTATTCTTAAAACAGGCAGCTGCAGCTTTCATCACATGCTGTGTGTAACAAGCATCCTATTCACATATCCTTTTAGTCCAGGGCTTAGGTTCTCAGCAGGAGAAATGCCTTCTGCTATTCCTCCATCTCTCTTTCTGTATCTCACTAGACCAGCAAAACCCTTGGCATTTCCAGGTAAAAGTGCCACACAAGAAAACTGGGTGCTGGCAGCCTTGTTTCTCTGAAAAACCATGGCAAACTGCAAGAGGAGAAATACATGAGTCTTGGGTCCTTTCTTCCCCTGAGGAAGGAAGCTGTTGCTCTTCTCTCTTCTCTTCTCTTCTCTTCTCTTCTCTTCTCTTCTCTTCTCTTCTCTTCTCTTCTCTTCTCTTCTCTTCTCTCTTCCCTCATTTCTTTTTTTTTCCCTAATAACATTTGACATTCTACACTATTCCAGATCTACAGGAAGCCAGTGGTAACTACAGAAGTTATAAAACTTGAAATGAAATCACAAAAGACTGAAAAATAAGCACTTTGAGGCTGCAGAGAGGAATTCTAAATTCAACTCAAATATTTTTTTACCATTGATGCATAATCCTTCTGAGAAGTTAGAAAGAAAATAAATATCTGTGCACTGTTAGGCCTCCCTCATATGCCAAAGCAAGGAAAATGACACCAATTTTTTTTTTATTTATAAAAACATCAGTTATAAGACCACATCTGCTAACAGTTCTGCACCACCTAGAAAATGTGAGGAATGTTAGTCAGAAGTATTTATAGGATGAAATGCACACTACATTCAGGTCAGATTTTTCAGAGCATTAATAATATACAGTATTATTAAAAATACTCAACTTTGCAATAATATTTAGAGGAACAGATACTGGGCATACCCAGTGAATTTAAATGTCTTTCTTGTAGGCAATTTATATTTTTTCAGCCAAGGATACAGGGAGCTGGTTGCTTTTGTTGCTTTGGGTTAAATATGAAAAGACATAACTCCAGCACAGACAGGAAATAATGAAGTATTTTGTGTGAAGAGAAATAAACCCAGAATGTCTCAGCAGACAAATCCCTGGCAGCCTGAGGCAGTTTTGATGGCTTGAGAAGAATAGGGTTGTGGCCCAAAGACTTGCTTTGACTGTACAGCCTTGTGAAGAGACACTGACTCTTTGCAAAACCAATTCCTCTGTATGGCGAGTGTTTCTTGGTTTAATGAGGGCAATTTATTTTTGCAGCCATACAAAAACCTTCAGTGTCCACAAAACTTTCCACATTCCGTGCACATTCACATTCCCTGCTCCCCCATATTTCCCATTTGCTTTACTCTTACAGTAGAAAGCCAGACACTCTCTGTAGGCACTATTGCTAAGAATTATCCCCAGTTCAAAGAAACAACTTGTCTCTCTGGTCCTCCAGTCACTTGCTTTCTCAGAAGGAAGGTGTTTACATACATCATATAATTCCATGAATACATGACTGAGAACCCAGGGGGTATTTTTTTCTCTTATTACAACAAGACTTACACAAGTCTATGGCTTTGACAAAACCAACCAGGAAAAGAAACAAAAATAATTTTAATAAATTAAATAAATTAAATGGATTTTTTTCTTGTTCCTTTTTATGAGAAGGAAATTTTCATGCCAGCAGAAAAATATTAGTGAAATATTTAGGCATTTTCATGTTTGGTTGTGGAGTCTTAAAAACACTGTGTCCAGAGCTTTCCCTGTGTTGCTGAAGTTGTTATTTCAAGGATATATTTAATAACATGTTTTCTTTAACCACAACTGCGAAGACGTTTCTATAATTACACAATTTCTCATTCATGACTTCCTTATAAACTGAATGCTGGAATTCAAGATGTTTGCTAGCTGTGCTTGGACGTGAAGGCTTATTTTGGGCTTGAGAGAAGTGACCATACCTCAGTGAAGATTTTTACTGTTAGAACTAAAAGCTTATCACTTAAAGAAAGAAAGAGAGGGCAAGAAAGAGGAAAAAAGCAAATCACCCACAGTGACTATTAGGCTAAAAGTCTTCTATTAACCCCAGCTGGCAGCTGAGTCCTTCTTGGTTTGGAAAGATGACGACTGAAAATTTCTATCAAAAAGACATACTCCTTGGTCTTTCTTAAGAGTGTATGTTTAATGTTGGAAAAACTAGTGCTTTAACATTATTTCTCATTCTGTTCAAATAAACTGAGAGATCTGGCAAGATATGAAATTATTTGTAAAGATACTTTGATTAAGGAAATCTACAGCAAAATGGCTTCCCCTAAATTCAACCAGTCTTTTCCCTCCTCAAAAAACTCAACAAAAACAACCCAACTGCTTTGCTCCCTCCCCCAAAGGGGAGAACAGAAAAAAATACAACTAAAATGCATTGCTTCTGTTTCTTTTTACATACATAGAACATACAGTTTTACATGACCAAATGACATTTCTTCTATAGGTTCCATTTTCACTGAATATCCAGAAAAACAGGAAGTGTTTAAGTTGAAGTGTTAATTTTAATTTAGAACATTAAAATTTAGAATGTTAGCATTGAAGATTATCCGTTGGGGAACAGTGAAAAAGGCAGGAATCCTCAGATCTAGTTAATTACTGACTAGCTAGGTTAATTACCGACTATCACAGTGCCTGAGCATGAGGAACTTGAAGGCAGGTGGAGCAGGAGTCAGCCAGTGGAAGAGCTGAGTCATTGCTCAGGGATCCCACACCTTTGGCTCGAGGCATCCATTCCCTCTGTGGCCTTGTCTAATGACCAAGCTTTATGATGCCTGGGAGCATCCTGAACACATGCTAGTTAACTAGAGCCAGAGGAAAGAGGACAGTGAACTACACTGTGCACACGCTGGGAAACTGGAGGTTAACTAAAGGTAGCTCCATGTGCACTCTTCCACTGAACAGCCAGCTCCTTCCCTGTGCCATAAGGGGCTTTGAGCCCAAAGAGAAATTGGAAGTTATAACATTTCCAAAGATAGCTGGTTTTCTCAACCCCATTCCTGCAAATGGACTCTCCTGACATGTGCCAGAAATTCAGCCCTAGGCAGATGGGAAACATCATTCAGCAAAAATCACAACTTAACTGAGCTTATGATTGGTTCTGTTAGGGAGCCATAGCACTACTGGTACCACAAGAAATATCTCCTAATTACACATTTGTGTACAGGGCTGGGTGAATAAATGCACTGTCAGGCAAAACATCTGGGCCTGTATTGTGATCCCAGTTTTGACTGTATCATCCTTGCCCATAGCTGTTCATTGGTCAAATCTCCACAGGGACTAATATGCAGTCACTCTGAAAGGTTTATATTTAGGGCACCTCTCTTCCAGACTCACTATATCTTTTTGTTTAGGAAACCATTTTAATTACTCAGGACAACTGTAATAACAGCTTCTATTTTGAACTTTCACTGGATCATCTACTATGGGCACTGACTTCCACAAGAGAAGAAATTCCATCATCCTCCAGGCTCATAGCACATTACTGGGCCACTACTGAAAATAAATCAAAATGCTCTTACCAGTACAGACATCTCCACAACATCTGATGGCTGAAGGTAATCTGGGTCTACTTTGGGCCAGGACTGAAGCAGAACATCAACATCCCAGTGATGATGAGTACAAAGTTTATTCTGCATATGTGCCAAACCTAGAAAATGAAAACAGTAAAACATTCATCTGTATGGTAACCAGAACATTTGGTCTCTGGAATTTGTTTGACAAATTAGATCAGGATAAAGTTGACTTTAAAAGCAAGTGCCATAGGAGGAAATAACATTGTTTAGATTAGCATACAACACATTATAAACAGAAGGATTTACATCTTTGAAGCATTTTATACCTTGAGTAAGGATGGACATTAACAATGTGGGCACACTTTAGATTCAAATTTACACTCTATAACTCTGCCAAGAGCACAGAAGACCGCTGCTTATTATTTTAAATTGTAATCCTACAACACAAGCTGACCTCTGCTTCTAAAATTCAACCATAATACTGCATTTATTTTCAGTAATGCCACCAGTTTGATTAGAATTTTACTAACAACTGAGAATGACAAATGATTATGCTTTATTTTACTGCCTATAATATGCTGGGTAGTTTCTAAATTTGCAAGTCAAGCTACTTGCAAGATTTTCTCTATTTTGTGTATATTTTCTCACAAATTAAAGGTGATACAAAGGAATGCCTTGCAGATCTTGCTCTCCTTATGATTTTTACATTCTGAAACATTTTATCCTTCGATATTTTAAAAAATTTCTAAAATGGCTAGAAGTGATCTGCTTTTATTAAACTGGTCTTCTCAAGATAATTAATTCCTGATTTCTTTAAGTCATAGGAGAACAGGATGCAAGTAATTCTGAAGCTGCATTCTATAACTGAATAGAAGCTCCTGAGTGGGATTTCTGTTGCTGTTTACTGCAGCTATATGACAAAATACAAAGATTTTTTTTAACAAGATGCTGTCAAATATAATCAATATTGATGATTATATCTGCGACTCTCACAGAGCCAGGAGATTTTTAAATTAAAAGCATTCTCTGCATATGAATAAGAACACAGACTAAAACTTTTTATAAGCACATGCTTCATTCAGGATTGCAAAGTGAAATCTCTTCTGTATGTGAAATCTCTTCTGGTTTAGGGAAACTCCACCAAAAGCATAAAGAAAACATATCCACACAAGACTCACTGGTGAGACTGAGGCACTGAAGCTGTTCAAAACAGCACGACAGCAGCCACAGGCATTCACCCAACCCATGCACAGTGCATACATCAATTCAGCTCACTGGATTGTTTAGACTAATACGGTGAGTAACAGCAAACAGGGGCATAAACACCATGCAGCTCCCTCCAGAAAAATCCACCACATTTTTGTCAGTGCTTTTTCAGACAAAGTGCTTCGGTAAAATGACACACAGCTGTGCTATTTGCTGAATGACTCAGAGAGGGACAGTGGGGAGGACCGATGGGGGAGTTATTTCTAATGGCAAGCAAGAACATGCTCATTTCCTAATGACAACAACTATTTGTTAGGCAAATCATTTATTATCAGTGGCTCTGATTTTGTGTATTTTCTTTTTCTTTTGCAGCAATAGCTCAGAAATTGAGAGAGCAAAAGATAGTAAGTCAAGCAGAAAATAATCTTCATATTGATGATTCATGATCACATTGACTGTAAAGAAAACAGCTGTTAGATTCTTTCCTTTTTGGCTTTTGAACATCCAGATGACCTCATTTCTTTCCAACTGATCACACGCCTTGTGGCAAAAGGATGAATCCTGGCCAGTCCTTATTTTACTGTTGAAAAGGATTCTTCAAACTATCTAAAACCCACTTTCTGATATATGAGTTTCTATCTACAAAAGCAAACCAGGGTCCCTTTTAATTCCTGTGGAGGCTGTCAGTCCTAATAAACCGACCAGTACAAAAATAATTAAAATATGTTCTGAAGCAAAGTGTGAGTAAGCCCAGTGTCACTCCTTTGGTTCATTTTCTTGCTACAAAATGAGTTATGAGCTCATCCATAGAAAAACAGAGTAGAAAAGTCAACAGAACTAGTTGAGAAAACAGTTTGACAGGAAACCAAAATGAAGGTTTTAGTTATGTTGCCTGTTTGGCTTCCTGCCTTAATTCACATTTTATAAGCTGTAGAACACAGAAAACATAATGATTTGGTTTGTATTTTCAAAATTCAACATGCTAAACAAGAAACTTCATCACCCTGATCCAGAATAGTGATTGATACATTAAAAATGGACCATTTCTGAAACTTTGATTGTGAAAACATGAAAAACATATTTTATTGTTTTACTGTACAGGAAAGTGCCTAGTGAAGTGTATTTGATGAAGTGGTGTGCATTTTGCATCATATTTTTTGATGTGTTTTGCTTTTATGGGTATAGATTCTCTTGCAGATGCACAACAGAAAGCTAACAGTATATTTTTTACTTACTGTGAGCTTTTTACTTATATGTATCCATCCGTACAGGACAGATCAAAGACAATACTTGTGCTCCGTCTGAAGTCTTGATCTTGCTGTTGGATCTGCTTCAATGGACTTCTACTGACTAGCAAGCAAATATTAGAGCAAGTTTTCCCTAACCAGTAACTCACAGCATTGGAACCCATTTTAAAACACCAAGTTAAACGAGTACTATAGTACTGTAAATTAGTGAGTTGAGAGAAAGAGGGGACAGGACGAGTCTAACAACTTTTTAGCTCAGGGCAATGTTTTACTAGCATTACAGGAGTATTTCATAAGCATAATACTTCCCCTAAGGTGCTATTTGACAAGGCAGAGCAGATACTCATTTTAAAGAGATTTAAGAAGGAAGATGTGGGAGCAGTCGTGTATCAGCAAGGTGTCAGGATGGAAAGGTAACTCTAGTCTTACAGAAAAAATGCACTGGAAAAAAAATGATCTGTAAAATTCCAGTAATTGTGCAGCTACTTAGACACAAAATTCTGTAGGCCAGAGGAAAAGTTGTGATTATGAAGTAAATTGAGAAAGAGCTGGCTTGTGACAAGCCCTGGAACAGAGAGGTTAAAGCAGAGAAGGAAATGAAGATGGAAGTCTTAATGGGTGATAAAAGGAAGCTACTGAAAGCATCTGAAACAATGGCAGTATGAGACTTTAGGACTAGGGATTTTCAAACAGAAAATGTAAGAAGATCAGAGGAGGAAGTACAAGATGACTCTGAGGGGTGAATATTCAAATACTGCTAATTTAACTAAAAAACTCAGATTGGGAGTGTGTAAGGGCAAGTGGAGAGACATTTTGGGTGAGTATCTACTTGCCTGTGCAGCCTCTTTCTGGCATTGTTACCATGTTACTTTGTTCTTGATATTCTCTTTACTATTTAATGAATCTCCCTATTTGACAGATTTGGGCAAGTTACATATCTGAAATTTCTTTCTGCAGCTCAAGAAGAATATGTCTGTCAGTCATATGTGAAACAATCTGCAACTCAAAGAAATGGTAACAGCTGTTTGCAGACAGCTCTGAAAAAAGATGTATTATACCACTGGTGTAGTAGTACAGAACTAAGATGGGTTACTGTAAGCTAACTCTAGGATGTGCTTGCAATCCAGCAAACTCCAACCAAATACTTTTAACCTTCTTAAAACAATCTGTCTTCCTCCATTTGAAAAAACTTTCTCTCTTTCCTTTTATGCTATTACTCTTGGAGAAAAAAAAAAATTGAAACTCCAAATCATGTTTCTTATTGGATTTGCGAAGGGGGATTTCTTCATTCAGATTTTCAATTTAAACCTGCAACATCAATTAGCTTTTACTCAACTCAATTCTTTCCAGAAGCCTTTTTGAGCAAGGGCTGAATTCAGAAAAATTCTTGCAGCAGAGCTATTGTAGTTACAGTTAAAATATTGCTAAGACAATGATACCATTAAAATTTTTTAAAAAAAGTTTAATTTCAGTATTTCCTAAGATGTGTTTATCAAAGGTGTACATATCTTTCATGTGCCATCTCTAATAAAAATTTAGCAACTCACAATAAGCAGTTTCATAACCTTGTCTGAACAGCGAAACACTGTACTACTACAAACAAACTAAAAAAAAAAGTCTCAAATGGTGTCTGTATATTCCTTAGATACAAGGTTTCAGGAAGGAAACAGATTTCCTCATCCTGTTAGTGTTCATAAACTGCCAAGATATCAGCCGGATGAACTCTTCCCACACTGAGGGGCTACGGCTGCTTTTTATGTTATTGAGCGATAAACCGGCGCATTCTCTGCACGATTAACACCGTCAGGCTGACATACCAAAACACCAAAAACTGCTCGTCCTCTAAGGGGGGAGAAGAACTTCTTCACACACAAAGTGTCATGGGTTGCTGTTGTTCAGCTGCTGAAAGGTGAGGCACTTACAGAACAGCATTCAAGCAGCTTCCATCAGAGTGGGGTCCAGTGCTATAGGTGCAATTTATAGAACTAACAATATACAAACTCCTTTTCCTGACCAATTTACGAAAGAGGAAGTAGCATTATCCTGACATTTAGATGCAAAGCCAAGGTACAAAAGGAGAGACTTATTCTCTCTGAGTATGGAGAACTAAAGTGTAGAGAAAACTAAACAGAGAATTTAGAAACTTTAATTTTCGTATTGAAATTATTTAATATAGTAAGCATCATCACTTATACACAACAGAGTTTGAAAAATTGGTTACATTAGAAGAACAGCAGGATTTCGTGGAACCTGAGTGCAATTCAAAACTTGGGGAATCTTTAACATGAAATCTCAGTCCCAGGACAGAACTGATAGATGTTGGCTATTTCAAAATAATACAGTATTCTTACCACAATGCAGTAGTTAAATGTATGCACATTTTCCTGATAAAATTGTTCAATAACTTCAGTATAATGCAATGATTACCATGTTAAAAGCTACTGTCATTTTTAAATTTAGTAATAAAATTCTTCAGGCAATAATCAATATGCAATTTTTTTTATGATTGCTGCACTGAATTACAGTGCACATGTCTTTGGACCACACAAGTAAAATTTTATCTTTAAATGCAGACAGAAGCTGAGGACAATACACTTCCAATTTTCATATGCTTCCTTTTGATTCTTACATCAGAGGGAGATCCAGAAAATGTTCATCATTTTCATTCTCCAGTGATTTTAGTACCAAGAAGACTTCCTTATCTAACATTCAAAATGCTACAGGATTAAACTTTGTGTTCAACAAGTTGTTAATTAAGATACCCTAGTGCTCTTTGTCATTTTATCAACCATAGCTGATAATTCTTTATTTCCTAACATATATTAGAATTCCAAGTTCAGAAAGCACTGTATGTATAATTATCCTGAATCTCTTCCATCTCCATCTCAACCACTGCAGAAAACAGTCATGCTAACTGCTTTTAGTTAGCATTATTTTAATTAGATGGCATGTGATAGCATAAAACCAGATGGATCATGTCTGATGCCACTCTTTATTCTAGACAGTTAAACTTCTATTAAGACATTTTTAAATCACTTGAAATGAAAACACATGCAAAAAACCCAACCCACTCTCCCTACCCTATCTTCTTGTTTCCACAGGCTCTGCTTCTTTGTTACTGCTTTGAACAAGAGTGGTCTTTCCTTGGTAATTAACATTACAAGCCATGCACAACACTGAAATACCATCGGTTTAGTTGCTCTGCAAACACTTGAATGCACAATGCTTTTTGGGACGACCATTGAAAATAAAACCATTAAAACAGCACCCAAAAGCTAACATTAGGTCCAAAACCACACAGCAGTTTGTGGCCAGCCACGATGCAGAATATATTCCTATCTTCCCACATGCATCTTGGGACTTTTCCCAATAAACCTTACAATCAGTTTCTAAACTCTGGCATGCACATCCCTTACTTCACAGGCTTTAACTGTATCAGAACCACGCAACTTAGCCCATTTGGTATTCAGACCTGTACAACTGTGACAGGTCTTAGAAAAGATACCCTGTCTACAACTCCCATTCTCCATGGCAGGTTAATTTAAAGCATAGTGTCCCTCAGTTTCTGGAGCATTCTAAAAGGGCAGGATTTTTATTGAACATTTCTTTAGTCTTTTTAGTATCCAGCTCTCTGATATGGTTTGCTTTGTCTGAATTCCTGAAAGAAAATATTTGTAGTCCAAAGGTTCTGACAGAGTTATTTAAAAAAAGGCTGGTTCTGCCCTGGTGTTCAGATCTTAATAATACCATCCATATTCAGAAGCAGTTAGCAGCTGACATATGAATTCCTCATGCAAGTCCTGTCTTGAATTTTTCTTCTAGCTGCCTTTCTCCACCTAGTTTCAAGAAATCCACCTCTCTATGCAAGGAAAAAGAAACCAAAGGCAGAAAAGAGGGATGTGGGAATGACACAAAGTTCAAGTTTGTTTAACAATTATGACAGAAGGTGACAAGCTGATAAAGAATTCAGAGGTGACACATGTGCTGAGTTACAGACATTTTTGCAAATTTCTTGTCCTTTTTCCTACAACACCTGTATGAAGTTTATAAATACCTTTCCACATCTCTGACGCAATGTGGGGAGCCATAGGCGCAACCATAATGCAGAGCGAAGCCAAAGCATCTTCAAATTCTGTGCTGTGGAGAACAAGAGGCCGAGGAGCATGCTGAATGAAACAACAAGGACAAAGAAACAAACTATTAACATTCTGAGGTGGGGAGGAAAGTAGTTGAATGAAGAAGAAAATGCAGTAATAAAACCTACAATCAATGTCTATGCTAAGGAGAGTGCAATTTCACAACAAATTGGAGACTTATGAAAATGGAGAATTAAAATCACAACTCTTGGTCATAGAGTGCCCTCTAACACTTAGAAGCTGATCCTGAAGTGGCTGATGAAGACCCTTGGGGATCTGCTCTAGCACAGAACTCTGAACACACACTCATGTGGACAAGAGTGGCCCACAAAACCATTTTGAGTGCTGCCTTTTCTAGAAGTGCAATCGTAGGCAAAACCAGAGCTATCTGAGAAGAGGTGAAGCACTTGTATATGACAGTCAAACTGTGCTGAATGCAACACACATTTTGCTTGGACAAGGTTCCATTCTACAGGATCATAGAGTGGCTTCAATAAAGCTGAATTTAGTGACAAAGTGAGGTTTTAGAGCTGAAGGAAGCCTTGGGAATGAAAAGCACAACAAAGTTTTATATTCTCATTATTTTAGTAGAGTGTCTGGCTTCTTTAGTATAGAAAATGTGCAATTTCTGGAAAAAGGTAGCTTGACTGACAAAACTTGAACTTCATTTCCCCATTTAGCTTAACTTAGGGAAAACTTAATAGAAAAGATACAGCACTAAAAGTAATCAGGTGAACTTTTGTTTCTTTGCCTAAGAGATTACATCCCATGGCAAATTCAGCTGATACATTTATTTTGTAATCTATCTCTCTAATGAAACAGCACAAAAAAAAGGTCAATACATGTCAACTCATGAAAATTATTTGATGTGAAGAAAACCCATTCTCATCAACTACAAAATTGTCCAAAACCAGAGATTTGATTGACTGCAAATGTTGTCAGAGGGCGTCTTATAGTGCAAATTATATTTGAGTAAGTTTTAGCAACTACTGCCCACTTTCAATGTTTAATCCTTGCCCACCTCTCCACTTCCTCCTTCTAACTGGGAGCAAAAGAGGAAGTGTCAGCATGCTATGTGGAAACTTATTCTTCAAAGACACTGCACTGTCTTCTTCACTGCTCAAGAAATATATCAGTGTTCAAGTATCTGGCTGTCTGTAGGACTCTGAATTTTATTTTTTTTAACATTCATTCCACCTTCCATTAACCCCAAATGCCTGTGAGTCATTGAATTGGAGATAAAGAACTGTCTGTTACCTTCCCAACACCATACAGGATGCCAGACTTAAATTGTCTCAGTACAGCACCTGTGCACAACGTACTTCACTTTTTGTTAACTTCCTTGATTGTGCTAAATAAGCACCTTGGAATCCATAATGTATAAAATGGCATTTCAATAAAGAAATTAAAGCTTTCAAAATTATATTTAATTTCTGGTCTATATCAGGTTACCATTATATGCCTGAAGGATTGCTCAACCAGATCTAAGAGTAGTAACGAAAATAATGATAATAGTTCATTATATTTATCTATCACCACTGGCTGATAAACAACATAATCTAAATAAAAAATCTTAAAACTTAAGTTCAGCAGTGTAAGCTGTCTTTGAGGACTGACCATGTGTGATTTTCCTTGCAAAGAACAACCCTTTTAAAATCAGAATGTTTGGTAATTCTATAATGTGCTACTATACCTAGTTACCTAGGCAACTTGGCTAAAATCAAGAGAACAAAGAACAGAACTAAATAAAACGTATCCTCTTCAAATTACAGGATGCAGACATAAACATCAGAATTTGGTGGATCTAATATGATCAAGCTCCTCCTGCAAAACTGTTTATAATTCAGGGTTACAGTGATATCAGAACATGCTTTTGAACTGAATGTAACTCAACAAGGCTGCTGACTTAGTAATACTGTTTATGAAGTTAATGACTTACAGAAAGCTGGACCTATACTTCAGGCAGCTCCTGCTTCGTAGAAAGACTGACAGGAGCAGTGTCTGAGAGAAAAATACCTTCATTAATATCACATACTTACATGGAGTACATTTGTGAGGCTCATCAATCGGGAAATAGCTGCATTGAACAAATGATCCTTTGTGAAGTACTCGGTTACCTTGTATTAGAAGAAAAGGTCTGTCATTAATTACTTAAAATTCTCCAACTCGGAATACTGGGTTTTTAAATGCAAAACAATTACTGGTAATCAGTTTCAGTTGGTGAAATATGTGCATCTTACCTCTTATGTAAAAATCACTTTGGTATGCAAACACATCATATGTGCAATCACATGGGTGGAGGGGAAAATAACAATCACATAAAAATTCAACTGATTAGCTTCCCTTCTGTTTCAGGATTTAAAAAGCTTCAATCAATGCTATGAAAAATGTGCATTAGTCACCCTTTATTTCTTTTAATAAAATACATTCCCTTTGCCCCTACAAGAGGCCTTCTCTCTAGTAAATCCATTTATACTGGTGAAAATTTGTTCATAGATTACAAGATTATAATTATAAAGTTTGTTAAATGATCTAGAATATCCCTCACAGCTGGGTTTAAACTGGCAAAAGTTTTTATTCACAGAAAATTACTTGAAGTTATTTTGCAGGTATTTATGTTTCCTTCTCAGTCTTGGATAACTGAATTGATATTAATCACAGCAGGAGACAACATATAGTAAGAGATGAATAACCACTTCAGTATGTTTTTCAAGGCTCTGCTAATATATTTTCACCAGTGGCTTTTTTCATTCTGTATGAAACAGCAGGCATGATAATGAGGTATGAAACAAACAGACCAAAGCTTTTGTTAGGGTAACCTACAGAACTCACCTATGGTTTTGTTACTTGAAATGGAGTTATTCGAATCCCAGATTGATAAAACTTCAATGTCATAACATTTCATTCCTTAAATGAGGCATATATCCTTTAAATAATTTCTGTCCCACAAAATTTGTAGGTAGATAAAATTATTTACATAGAGAATAATTCACTTAGAAAATTAGCTACTCATCTGGGTAAAAAAGCTTTTGGCTCCGAAAGTCAAACATATGGTTTTAGCATAAGAAGCAACTTATTTAGTAATTTAGAAACTATGTAAGTGTTTCTTTTAACCTCAGAAATCACCAGATTCTTCTGCTCCCAGATCTTTCTGGCTTCAGCCTTCTCTTTCTTATTCAGAAGCTCAGGATTGGGCATGGTTCCTGAAGTCCTTGCTTCAATGAGTTTGGTTACAAGTGCCCAGAGGCGCACCTGCCATCTCTGAACGCCGGGCATGGCATCAGCTGAGATTAATGAAAGATTTCAGAAACAAATGTCAGTTACAAGTAAAGAATTCAAAATTTTAAAGAAAAGCAGGAACAAAACATTGGAGTTAAACATTTAAAAAAACCCCTCTCTATTTTAAATGAAAGACACCAATGCAATTAAAATATCTTTACAAGTAATACTGAGTTGCCTTAATGAAAAAAAATCAGTAAGTATTTTTCTGCAATGACTTTAAAACAGATATATGTATATAGCAAGAATACAGCATAGAATATTTACTAAAATCTGTAAAATAAGCCAATATTATGTCAATGCTAGAATGCTCATCTGTTTAAATGACTTCACAAAGGAGTTGTAGGTGCTCTCATTTTTTGAACTCACAGCAGAATATAAACATATACACAAGTATGCATACACATATTTTTTCAAACTGAGAAGTTTCTTTTCAAATTTGATTTTAGCAAACATGTATACTTTTGTTGCTAGAGATGTTATTGTGCTAATGGGTATAGGCTCTGACCTTGGTACTCTCTTTTGACACAGCTTAGTTTGGGATGGGGAGACTATGAAGCTGTTGACCTTGACCCTGCAGCATCACTCCTGCTCCACGGCTGCTCACACCACAGGAGAGAATGATGTAAGCCCTGCCTTGATGTCCTCCACTGAAAGGACAAGGAATCTAGTCTGAAGGGCAATCATCCAAAGGCTATTACATCCAGAGGAGAGAAGGATCATGATAACTGAGAACCACTATTCAACACTGTCTGAATGAAAAATTCCTGTAATGGCTTTGCATGGCAAAGTTTTGGTAGGGAGGGGCTACAAGGATGATTTCTCTGGGAAGCTTCTTAGGAGCTTCCCCCATGTCTGACAGACCCAGTTGAGCCCAGGAAAAAGGGAGGGATGAAGGGAAGGTGTAAATTTGGTTTTACTTCTCATAACTCTAATTTTAATTGGTATTACATTAAATTTATTTCTCAGCTGAGTCTGTTTTGTCCATGATGGCAAATGCTGAGTGATCTCCTTGCCCTTACCTCAACCCACGAGCCTTTTGTTGTACTTTTCTCCCCTTATCCAACTAAAAAGCAAGGAGTGACAGAGCAGCTTGGTGGGCATCTGACATCCAGCCCAAGGTCAAACCCAACACAACTTGCTTAATTTCTTTCATTTAAACATTCATAATGTTGTTATAATTAAAAAATTCAGAACAAAGTATAAAGATATTTAAGAGATGTTTTTCACCTAACTTTCTATTTTCTTCTCCCCTGGAAATATCTTTAGGCAGCTAAAATCTCATTCTGTTCACATTTTCCAATACTTTTAACATTAGATGATGCCAAAATCTTCCTTTGTATTTCTCAAATGGTAAACATGTTAGCTTGAATGACGAAATACATTTTTGCTAGCATTATAACTGCATGTGCTTAGCTTTCTTACAAAAATGTTTAATCATCAAACTCTCGTATACTTTGCAACTAACATTTGGTACACACTATCCTGACAGTAATTTAATTATTCCATCTTCAAGATCAGAAAATACAGCAAAAAGATTGTGCATCGCCAAATGAGCTGCCTCAGAGGGAATTGTGTACCTGTGTAGTGTTTGGGGTGCAGCCGTTAAGGCTTGATTCTGACTCATTTTTTTAAGAGAGCTTTTCAAATGCCTAGCTCTCTGCTGTTGTGATTAGGTGGTGACAGAAAGCCAGCTGAGAACTCATAAAGCCCACTCCTCCAGTACATACAGTAGTGCAACAATATATAAAAAAACACAAATGAATATAAAGCATGACAGACACAACTGAAATAAAGTTTAGTGCAGGCTGAACTAAGTGGCAAGAACTTAACACGTGAAAGAATGAAGAACAACACTTTTTGGAACCAGGAATGGGCTGTTTTATTAAAGCCTTATGCAACAGGAAGGTGAAATGTAAATGAATGTATAAGACTACATTAAAATGTATGAATCACAGTAGGTAAAAGAAATTACGACCTGTCAGTATAAGGAATTGCATGACAGGAGTAAATAAGTGCACAGGAGGGTAATTCTTAACTTATTCAAGAAGTAAGCTCATAAAAATGTCATATCTAGAAATATCAATTACTAGGAACTCTGATTATCTTCTAATGAGATTCTTTCTGAGAACTATTTCATAGTCCATCTTAAAAAAGCCATTGCATGTGTGTTAATAAACAGAAATAGGAATATATTGTGAAGTTGTATCTTTGATCTGATATGATGAGGAAAAAAACAGATTATAAAGAAAAATAATTTTCAGTTAATCAATTACTGCTAATTTAAAAAAAGATAATGAGGCCCAAGTTTTCAGAAGAAAATACAACTTAAGAAGTAGTTTTCTTATGTGCTTTTAGCTTATAAGAGGTAAGCTGCTTGCAATAATGTAAGTTTGCCTCTTAGCGACAGCTTCGTGACCTTCCCTCCTTTAAAGGAAACAAACAATAAAACCTGTTTAAGATACTTTATTCATTCATTTTTCCAAAACTTGGGCATCAAGAACTGTATTAATTTTGTGTCTAAAATATACTACTTGAGAAAAAAGAAACAAATCCACAAGAAAACAAACTACAGAAATAATCTGACTTACTTTTAGCATCCCACAAAATGTCTTGTTCTGGAGGAGCAGCAAACAGAATGTAAAGGCGCAGGGTGTCGATGCCATACTCTTTCACTATTTCCTCAGGGTCTATTCCATTGTACTTAGATTTGCTCATTTTTTCCCAAGCAACTTGGAGCTTCTCACCAGTTTTTAGGTGAACTGGTTCACTTCCTAAATATTAAGACATACAAAAACTACTGAAAGAAATTTTGTTCACTTGTAACAGCAATTAATTTTGTTCCCTAAGCTTGAGAAGAAACAACAAGTGCTAGTGTTTCGGTTTTGTTTTTCCAAAATAGCTTAAAGAGGAATACCACCCATTCCAAACACTCTTTTCCTTCCCAAATTTTTCCTGTGTTAATGTTTTTAACACAGTGATAATGTTTTTAACCAGTGATATCCTAAAGCTTCCATCCCATCATTACAAAAAGTCTTCTACCATTTGGAAGCTGTATCTGGCATGCATTCTAAGTGCTGCCTTGACAGCTCCTGATATGTAAACTTTTTTATAACCATGACATTTAAAACTTCCTAGATAGTATATTGATTTGACACAATTCTGACCTGTACTTAGCTTTTGCAAATACCAAAGTTATAGGTTCCAATTGCAGTAAGTTATCCTGAAAAGAGTGTGTTTTCTCTTGCATGAATTTAGAGACAGTTGGACACTAACACTGAAAAAAGTGCAACTGAGTAAAACCCTCTACTAAAAAACCCCAATCTTTTCTACTTTCTAGAAGAAAATGGGGTAGCAGAAAGTGGCAAAATTTAAGAGGGTGGGGTTGGTTGGTTGATTTTTAACTGTCTTGCAGGGTTTGTATCCAGTAAAAACAAGGATGTATGAGAGGAATGCTTAAGAGAGGCAAATACAACCAAACCATTTTTGTTAATACAGGTGCCAGAGGAATGACTGGTCCAACTAATGAAGTGAAGGCTCTGCAAAGAACTTGAGAACGAGCACTGTTTCCTTAAAGTTTGACATTCCTAATACCTACTGAATACCACTGCACCTGTGTTAGTTTTGCCATAATGATTTTGTAGGTTGCCTATTTGCTGGGACTAACTGGCTCCATTCACCAGGTTGCTGAGCACTGTCTTAACAAAACTGACTTTTGATCTTTTGGACTACACTGGAGCCAAAATAATACCACAGCACTGCTTCTATGTTTGGATGCAATTAAAAGCTGCTCTGTTAGTAGGATCTCTGTGTACTCAGCAGTACGTGTAAATCCAAAACTCACAGAAATTGCTCTCCAGTTTAAATATTAGCTTCATTTTCTCATCCAATTTTTCCCAGCACTGAAGCAGTCCCTGGCTTTAGGGATGCACCTATGCTGATTTTCCCATGCAGTTTCTCTTACCAGTGAGATCAACCTCCTCTCTCTTCAAACACTGGCCTGTTGTTGTTAGTCTGAATGTCTGATTCTTGATAAGACCTTGAACCAAGAGCTTATGGAAAGGCTCCCTAAGGATGGAAGGAAAAAGAAACTTCTCTGTTGAAAAGAGCTGTCAAAAGCATACTTTATGATAAGCCTCAGGTGTTGAGCCAATCAGGCACAATTTTTTAATGAAACAAGAATTTCAAGTTGACTATACATAAATAGTTGTCACCTTAGAGTACTTTGTGCATTGATTAAAGGTGGTTGGCTGGCAAGTCTAAGTATTTATTTGCATTCTGCTCACATTCTTGTACCCTAATTTACTACTAAGTTATTCTAACACCACTTTTCAAATTAGCATATGGATAACACACAGAAGTTTCTTGGCCAACAGTACTATTTCCCTAACTTCAAGCTAAATCTCTTGCGTGAAAGCATTCAAGTACCTGGCCTCATTGTCTTACAAATATTTAGTTCTAGCTTCTCTCTGAGTAGTACAGGATTTTGAATAAATCAAAATGCTGTTGCACATTTCTTGCTATAAACAGATAAGACAGTTTCTCTAACATAAGCACCCACATGTCTTGGCCCCTTGCAGAACTAGCCAGGAAGGCCTGGCTGTATGAAAAAGTGTACTAGAGAAAGGGCAGTGCTGAAAAGTTCATACCTCAGTGCATCAATTTTTTAGCACCTTACTTTTCTAGCAAAAATTTACATCAGGGAGAGTAAACTCACATGAAATTAATATATGACAGGGCTAAAAAGAGCCTTGAAAGGCAGTAGTGCACTCAGCAAGAAATAAACTCTAAGTAAACACTGCTCTGGTTGACACACTATTGTGGCCCCCTCCTTTAATGATCTTGCATTTCTAATGCATTGAGTCACACGTTTGTCACTGTCACTGTTTTCACTGAAAAAAAAGGCAAGAAAATTAATCTCTAAAGCTTTTGGGTCCCACTCAGTAGAACAGGAAACAGTTCTAACATAGCTTTAAGAACAGTAGGGGCCAGGGAAGGAGGCATGGAGCCAGTCCCAGAAAGCACACACAGTCTGGAAGCCTTCTCATGGGACCCTCCAGCACAGGGACATCAGCGACCATCATTCTGGAGGACGTGATCATCAGCACTGGTTAATACTGACTTGCACCTCCTAATGCTGACATGTGTGTGCAACATTAAACAATCTGAATTTTCTACACTTTTTACTTAATGAAACCTCAAATGTGTACAAAAAAACTTATGTAAAAAGGATGCATTATTTCTATAAACTTTTTTTAAAAAAAGACAGAGTATACCCATCTAAAAAATAAGTAGCAAAACCAGACTTCCACATCTTATTTATTAGGTGTACAAAAAAGTCATAATCCAAAACATGATTCACTGTTAAGGAATTAATATAGAATTTTACATTATTAAGAAATATGAATTACATGACAATTTATCTCACAATTTAAAATGAAGTAATTTAATAAAACAATTAAAGTATTATTAAATTACAGAATAATTAGGCATGTTTTTATCATATTAAAGCAGGCATACTCCAAGTACTACTCCTTAAACACTTTTGATGACTCTGAAGTAAGAAGATATTTGAAAACAAAACTATAAACTGGGAGAGAAAGTGACAGGCTTCATATTTTATCTTCAGTATGCTCAAGTTTGAACATGAGTTTCCATCCTTGCATATTTTGTATACTTATAAATATTGTGCAAGTACTGGCACATATTGATGTATCACTCAGTCACAAAGAAGTATGAGTCTCTGCCACGCCACCTGGCTTTATCAACAATGTTAACTAAGAGCAACTCAAGCATCTCTATAAATATTTTGTAGATGATACTTCAGAGGTTGATGAAAAATCTTGTTGTTTAGAAGTAAAGGAACTTAAGGGAATGAGAACTGAAGTAAAATTTAGAGTAAAAATTTAGAGTAAAATGAAGAAAAACTATTTCAAAAACAGGATGCAAAAATAATCTAAAATGACAAAAAATTATTATAAATTATCCAAGTGGATTAGAAGGTAAAAACTGGGAACAAAAACTTTGTAACCCTATCAACAACAATGGTGGGAAAATCCTTCAGGATAAAACAGTTTATGATACATTTCTTCTGTCTCTACAAACTGCAGACATAACACCACAGGAAAAAAAAATTCCCTCCCTATCATTCAGTACTTCAGTCTGTTTAAGATCTCAAACAGTTATTAAAATAGCTACACTTCCTGCTATCTAAAGTAAAGCTAATGAGGTAGCCAGATCATCCAAATCAGACAGGACTCTCCACTGGAAGTGATTTTTCAAGGAACACTTATTTTTAATGACAAAGAGTTAGTTCAGATCCTACGCCAAGTTACTAAAAACTGAATGCAGGAACGAGCATTTCTTATTTTTGTTTATGCTGACAGGGGCTACAAAAATGCAACACAAAATACATTACCAAGTATGGGGAAAACAAACCCCAACCATGTGTCCCTAGTGGGAGACCGCAGGAGTATGGAGGCATGCCCAAAACGAGAAAGCCAGAGCCCATCTGCTAAACACAGGGCTCTAAACCAAACTGAGCCCTGCACTGTATGCACAGTGATTTTGGCAGTGTTCTGGTGGCTCCCTCTCATGTTCACATGCAGAGTTACACTTGAATTCATGTTCATAAAACTGCACACCTCAAACAAGCCCCTTCAAAGGCAGGGATGCACTTCATGGCTGCATAAGGGAACTGCCAAGGGGCTGCAGCATAGCAGGGATGATGCCATTCTGACCTCAATACTGCAGCACCCGGTCAGGGCAGCATAAATACCTCCTGATCCAAAACACCAAGAATAATAAAATTAAGCCATTTTCAGACACACTGACATTTCTGGCACAGAAGAGGAGTCTGGAGTTTCTCTGAATGCTTGGTCGTGTTTCAGACTGTAGGTATAACGGAATGGGATAGGCTTTCACCTGCCTGTGAAGTTTGTGCTCACGCTGGGGTGTCTGCACTGAGACCTTGCCCATATTACAGCTTTTGATCATGCTGTACATCCCACCTGCAGTGTGCCTGACACCTCTGAGAAGGATCAGCTAGCCATGAAGTCTGTAATCCATCTTTTCCTTTCGCTAATGTTCATATACAGGTTAATCTCTATGAGACTAATCTAGGACCATGCAATGGATAGTAGGGCAAGCATGACAGACAGATCAGGAATTCCTGCTCAGTGCCATGTTCTCATGCTCTTTGCTTTGCTCTGTGCAGGGTGAGCAGCAGGACTTTCAATCCTAGTACAAATGACCAGGCTGGAAGAACTCTGTGCAGCCTGACACAGTGATAAAACAGTGAATTCAGAAAAAGGGATAACCCTGGCAAGGGAGCTCACTACATGTATTTGTACCCTGCACCTTTAGAGAGGCTGAGGGAGCCTGTGTGAAGACAAGAGTAGGTCAGTTACTATTGGCTGAGTCCAGGAGTCTGTGAAACCTGCTGTAAGATACAGCTCAGCAACCTTGTGGAGGTGACTGAAGGATGTGGAAACTGATAATTTTAGGCAAAAAAGAAAAAAAAAAAGCTATAACAATATTAAATGTTCAAGATTCCACACAGTTAACAACTGAGAAATTTGGCTTAAAATCAGCACTAGAGATAAGGTCCTAAATGAATGCAGAGAAGCTGAAGCATCGTTCCTTCACAGAACAAGCTATTTCTGTCACACACACATCTTCTTTTATTCTGTAACTCAGCTATGTGAAAAATAGTGCTTTCTTACTCTGTAAGAGTCAAATCTGCTGACTTAACGGCAAAAATAAAATTTTTTAATTGCTTTATAACTCTTCAGGGAGAGTGTGCTAGATTCCGTTTCCAATTATTCATCAGACAGAACTGATTACTGAAGTCTAGGGCAGAACCAAATTCTGTGTAACTTGTACTTGCACAGCTGAGCAGGTGCAATGGAGAATGTCAGCGCACGCCAGCCATGGTGGATTAAGCTGGAACAGAGGAGGAGTTTTCTGGCCCCAGCTGCCTACCTGGCCCCTCTCCCAGCAGTGGTCACAGCTGGGAGGGCTTGCTGCCTTGTGAATTATTTATAGAACCAATGCATTTTACAGACGAGACTGCCAGAACAAACTGACATCAATTTGGGCTTAATCTGGTATCACATGTATGAATACCCAGAGGGTACCACTTATTCTGCCTTGTCATTACTGAGAAATTGAGCAGCATTTCTTTCCCACCATCTTCAGTCCAATGCATTAAAAAATAAAAGACCATGCCTCATCTTGAGGGGATATTTAAGCTATACTGACACCTTTACAATTCTAAATTCTAATTCTAAATGTCTACATTTAAACACTGTATTTTCACTGCATGTATGTGTGTCTGTAAATGCCTATTTCATACATGTTGCCTGTAACATTTCTGTAATAATCCTTACACCATATTTGGAAAGATTGCTTTGAAAATCCAAACTACAAGAATTTTAATTTCTGTTTTCAACCACATTACTATATAAATAGGCACTAAAGACTACCCATCATTAAAGACCACCCAGAAGTATTTCAGTGGTTTTGAACATCACAGGATAGGAGCTAAACAATGAAAATTTCCATAAAGAAAACATATCAAAATGAAAAACTACTACAGATAAGTAGGGGAATCATAAAAATTTTTAAGGACGCTAGATGACACTTTAAATGGTGGCAGCTCTCATCAGCTGATATAACAGCTTTATTTATTTAATCAGTGAAAAAGACCTAAGCTACTAGACAGAGATTGAAAATGCACAAGAGGGCAGTGTTTTTTAACATTTTAGTGTTTTCCCTCAGATCTGTAGGTTTTGACATCATGACTTTGAGCTTCCTAACAATAAGCCTGTTGTTTCTAATTACACTTTTCAGATCTTTCAGATCAGCCTTGAGCAGTTCAAACAGAAGACTGAGCAAAAGTGGCTTCTGGTTAACACTAAAACATTTAAAATACATGGTAATATTTATAAAGGAGTTATGATTTCCATAAGAAACCAAAATCCTAATTTGACTTAATGGCTTCAAAGCACCAAATGCTTTACCTTGCATAGAGCTAAAGCAATTGAACAATTTTGTGCATGATGATGAATTTGTTACAGTCATCTTGCAGTCTGAGCACACACCTAAGCATTTCATACACCCGGCCCTCAGGGCAATGCTCTAACACATCTTCACATGTGCAACAGCTCTTGAGATTGTATACGATGCCAAAGGAATTCTCCAGAGTCTTGCAAACTGCTTCTGCAGAAAGCAACTTCTATTTTCTTCTGCCATTGTCACTAGACGTAGTCAGTGCTTCTTAAGGATTGTTCTTAACTGAAGGTAGAGTTTTCTTCTGTAATTTACCACATTTAGACCAGCCTACAATACACAGTTTCTGTGCTACCTCTCTGTCACACCAGAGTGTGAACAAAACACATTCCAGTGTAATGCAGGTACAGAATCACAGAATCCTTAGAATAATGCAGGTTGGAAGGGACCTTTGCAAGTCATTTGGTGCAACTCTTTTCTCATATCAGACCTAACTTCAGGTTGTTCAGGGCCCTGTCCAGCTGCGTTAAGAAAATATGCAATGATGGAGATGCCACAATGTCTCAAGTCAAATGGTTCCAGTCTCATCACCTCCCCTGACAAAACTGTATTCCTTCTGTCCAGCTGAAACTTGCTACAATCTGTGACTGTTACTCCTTTCCTTTCTCTGTACATCTCAGAGAAGAGTCTGGCTCTATCTTCTCTATAAACCTCCTTTAGGTAACAGTAGATAGCAATTACATTCCCTCCTTAACCTTCTCCTCTCCATGAGGAACACACTCAACTCCCTTAGCCTCTTCTTGTATGTCATACGCTCCAACCCTGACTATGGTGGTGCTCCTCTTCTAGACCCTCTTCAGTTCCTCACACTGGGGTGAGAGCCTCAAAACTAGACACAGTGTTCCAGTTGCTCCTGAATGATGAGAAGAGATAACCAAAGCTGGGCATGGTTTTGCTAGCAGAGTATACTGTCACGCTATACTGTCATGCCAGCTGCTGACCCACCTCTAACTTGCTGTTCACCAGGACCTCCAAGCTCTTCTCTGTTGTAATCCTCCCCACACAGATGGCACAGCCCCAAATGTTCTGTTGAAGTAATGGTAAAAGATATGCACAGCTCTCTCCTCATCCACCGATGGAATCACCTCATCACAGAAGGAAAGCAGATTAAGTCGGGCATAATTTCTTCTTGGTAAATCCATGGTGGCTGCTCCAGTCACCTTGCCTCTCATGCCTGGAACTTGTATGTGTCTGGCTTACTGAAGTGAACTCAATCCTACTCCACAATGGGCAGTATCTCTTGCCTTCAAACTTTCCTACTAAGCACAGACCTTGACAGCAAAGGCTAAGGCAAAGACTTTTCTTTCTACTTAGGCTCTTTGTTGGATTTTGCATCAGGCCAATGTCTTCCTTGCTGTTCTTTTCAATGTATGTCCAGAAGCTCTTCTTACTACCTTCACATTCTTCACTAGTTTCAATATCTGATGAGCTATGACCTTTCCATAATCCATATTGCCTATCCAGTAAAGGCTTCTACATTCCTCCAGGGGTAGCCCCTCCTTACTTTCCTTGCACTTATTTTGCTCTTCTTGAAGTCACACAGGAGGTCCCTTTTCCAGCTGGCCTCTTTCCAAGCCTTTTTTTCTAGCACACCACTCACTCTGCAAGCAAATCTCCCCTGCCCTGTGATCTCACTTTGTATTGATAGTACTTCAGCCACTAATGTGGTTAATGTTATTTTGGAAGGCTGAAGTATTTGACTAGTAAAAGAACATTTTGCTGCTGTGTGTTACAGCTCCACTAGATGGCTGATGGAAAATAGGATTGTAAAATCTTTTGTAGAATTAATAAGCCTAAAATTGCTTGCAAGGGAAAGCTTTAAAATTCTCTGCTTGAAGGCACAGCACCTCTGAGAGGAAGGGTCTGCTTTGAAAGGTCCACTCAGAGAGAAGAAACAGCCTTCCTGCTGCAGCTACACAGGCTGCAGACAACAGAGTGAAACAGGTACACAAATCATCTATATCCAATATTTCAATCAAACTATTGTACAGCCAAGAACGAGTTATTAAAACACATTGCCTATTTTCATCAAAAATAGGAAATACCTTGGGAAACATTCCGCTAGCTGCAGCAACTTGTCCATCTTTTTCTGGCACATAACTACTTAAATTCTGATTTTGTAGCAAAACTACAGTATTTGAGTGAGTTCAGTGATATATATATTTAGACTCCTCTTTAACATCAAGGTTTTAGAGGGAATACTTGTAAATAATGAATTTATTTACATGAGTTGCAGCTGAGAAATCACTGAGCAGTTCTTCTCATGAGGCCACTCATTTTGACTCACTCTATTCAGTCATCTCTGCTGATGGCAGAACAGAACAGAGCATGGGCCAGAATTTCCTTGTTCTGTCACCAGTACTCTTCAAGCTGAGGAAGGCATTTTAGGGTACAAAAGAGCTGAATTTCAGTGGAAATGGGGATGTCAAGCTCAGAACCTATCTAAGAGGACAAAGAACAGAACAACATATGACTCACCTTCTTCCATCACACTTTACCTCTAACCAAAACAGAGAACAGTGAATTAGGCTATAGCAGCAGCATCAACAAGAAGAATTAAAAGTAATTATATAAAATTAATTAAATAAAAAATAAATTGACATGAGATAAATATATTGCTTTTGCCTATCAAGAAGTGTTTTGTACTGCTCAGATCCAATTATACAGTGACTTATAAGAGTGCTTTGTTTTTTACATATGCATGGTTCCACTGAAATTAATGCTATTATTGGTAGGAAGTTACCTAATTTGAAATAATAGCACTGCACAGAATGCCTGAAGTTACTCGTTTGTGCACGCTTTTGCAGGCTGGAAGTCTACAGCAGCACTTTATCACTTGCTCTGAGCCAGTTAATACTCATGCAATAAAAACCTTTGTATGAACACATACAGGAAGTGCAACTCACTGTGAGAAACCAAGTACTTAATTAAGGCTTATTCAATGTCATGTTCCACCGTCTCAACAATGTCCAGTAATACTCTTGTGACTCAAAAGAAATATGAAAGATTAGAATAGAAATATATATAAAGCTTACTTGTGTTTAGTCATCTTTAGATCGTGGCAAAAATGGCTGAAGAACCTTGCATAGAATAAGTGCATAACTGCATGCTCCTTTCCTCCGATGTACAAATCCACAGGCATCCAGTAGTCTGCTAAGTCACTATTAAAGGGCCTGACAAAACACAATTATAGGAAAAAATCCAGTGTTGAAAGAAAAAATCAGCACTACTGAAGTAGCTCATCATCCTTAACTGGACAACACTGTTTACTCTGAGCAATACATGTGTAATAAAACTTTCAGTTTGCTATCAGATCTTTTTGTTTTTTTAAGACATAAATGCTTATTATAGACAAAAATTTAATTTCCGCTGAGATGTAGATCCACAAAAAGATTATTTTCCTATATTTCAGGCAAGCAATTACCTGAGAAAGCAATGAAAACGCTTGACTGCTCTTTAAATGACTTTTTGTAAATACCCTGTGGCTGGCTTTAAATTTTTTAGTATTTATCAAGCTTTATATACAAATATATTAGAATGAAAGACAAAAGACATGACCACTTAAAACCAGTTTTTTAAAGTGACAGTTTGCATTGTTGCCATTAGAGGGCAATGATGCAGTTTAAGGCTGCAGAACCCTCTGTAGAGTGAGATGGGTCACAGCACTCGAATGAAGGATGCTCGATGAAATGACAGTAAATTTGCCATTAACAGCATATTTGCATATCATTGGAGGTCACCTGAATGGTTTCCCAGCATTGCTTACTGCTTCATTCCATATTTCTACGTCTCCTGTAGTGGGCCCACAAAATACAATTTGTACAGAGGTTTTTCTCTTCAAGCTTTCGCTTCAAGCCCCTGCTCTAACAAATTTATTTGTTTTGTCTGTCTGATTATTCCATCTGTAATTTTTGTTACAGTGATACTTCCTCCCTCACAGATGAGCCCAGAAGCAAATCATGGATCTGGGATTCATGTCTTTGGTGGAACAAATCAAACCTAACTTGTTCATAGGGTTCCAGAATCAACAGAATAATTCTCTGTAGACTAGTGAAATATGGTTTATGGAAATGAAGGATTTACATATGCATAGCTTAGTTAAAAGAACTAACGAAATAAATCAAATGCAGGCAGCAAATTAGTGCACAAGTCCATATAAATGTCCTCATTTCAGTGTAAAACAGATTAGACTACACTAAGCTGTTACTTTGACAGTTGGATGTTACATCTGACTATTTATTCTTCAGCTTTTGGAAAAGTCCCTCTTGCCCACATACAAAAAATACTTCAAACTGTAATGGAGAGGAAGCAATCTGCCGAACTCAGTAATAGCAGTAATATATTCATGCTATCACTAGAAAATAATTAAAACTGGCAAGAAATAAAAGAGTTCACAGAAGATTTTTCTCTAGTTTAACCAAACTAGTGCTGCCAATACAAAAAAAAAAATTATTGGCCCAGCAATACTGTCACTGAGTATATGTAGTATGTTCCCAGTCACTGCTCTGCACAATAAATAAACAAATACATGCTCAAACAGCCCATCATGTGGTACCAATGTTTTAAAATGTGATTCTTCCTGTCTTCCTCAGACTATATAGTAGGGATGCTGCACTCATTCTTCTTTGGAAAAAAGGGTGCTATCAAGCAGCGCTACTACAGCCAGACTATGAAGCAGAAAAACAGCTAAATAACTACATCTGTCTCCCCACACTCTCCATGCTGCAGACATTAGTCCACAGCACATGAAAAATCTCCTTTCATTAACTACGCATGTAGTGGAAGTGCTGACACAGCAAGACATTGCTGTGATGCCTTTTCACTCGAGGTCTGCACACAAGGAAATGGCAAGAGTCACCAGAATTTAAAAGGAGAGAAAGGAAGGTTCCAGGTTTGGCAGCTGGATGTTACACTGGACTTTTCCTCTTCTTACCAGTGGAACAGCACTGCCTGTCCACACACTGAACTACTCAGTGCATTGCCAGGGAGGTATAGCCAGCAATTTACCATGGCAGGCTGCTATTCCTGATGGCACCCCCCACTAAGAACTTCAGCTCCTCAGCTGAACATTTTCTCTGTGCCCTGCCCCATAATTCCCATTCATGCAAATTTCTGCTCCTTGCCCTGTAGCTCCTGTGCTTACACAGTTGTGCTTACACATCCTGCTCTTCTAGATCTCCTGACACAGGAGCAATCAAAGACCACATTTTTAGACCAGCTCCATATATTGTCCTAGTTTTGACTGTGATAAGAGTTCTTTTTCTTCTGAATAACTGGTACAGTGCTGTGCTTTGAATTCAGTATGAGAATAATGTTGATAACACGCAGATGTTCTGGTTGCTGCTGAGCAGGGTGTACTGTAAACCAAGGACTTCTTAGTCTCTCATGCTCTGCCAGAGAGCACGTGTACAAAGAAGCTGGTAGGAAGCAATGCCAGGAAGGCTGACCCAGACTGCCCAAAGGGATATTCCAGACCATGGACTGTCATGCCCAGTAGATAAATAAACCTGGGGAGTTGGCTGGGAGATGCCAATCTCTGCTAAGGGATGAGCTGGGCAGCGGTCAGCAGATGGTGAGCAATTATATAGTGCATCACTTATTTTTCCTGGGTTTTCTCTCTCTATTTCTCCCTCTCATTTTATTATAATTATTATTATACTTTGTTTCAGTTATTAAACTGTTCTTATACAAGCCATGATTTTTACTTTTTTTTCCCCTCCTCCTAACTGTCCTCCCCAGCCCACAGAATGTGTGGGGGGGGTGAGCAAGCAGCCGTGTGGTACTTAAATGCCAGCTGGGGTTAAAGCACACCCCCTACCCTGTGCTGTGCTCAGGCCCAAAGGGCAGGCACATAATGAGGGCAGTGCAGGGATTTACCCTGCCAGTAGACTGCAGCTAGGAGCTGGAACCAGCTGACTGTGTGGTCTCTTTGTTCCCTTGTGTTCTGTGTAGCAGGCTTGTCCCCAGTGGCGCTGTGCCTGCAGCCCTCACCTGTCGGTGTTGTGAGGGTCAGTGTACCTCAGGTAGTACCAAGCAGAATCAACAAATGTATCCATGGTATCGACCTCCCGCCGTGCTGCTGCCTTGCACCTGAGCAAGAGAGGAGAAAAGCTTTCTTTAGATAAGCGACAAGTTTGGAAAAAACCCAAACAAACATGGACAGAGTGACCATAAAGACATTTAGATTCAAAACAGCAGCCCGAAGAGTGACATGTTCAGAAAAAGTGCAACAACAGTAACAGGACTGACTTCTTCCCTCTCCCTCCCAAAGCACAGCAAAAGCGAGCCAAAAAGAAGCCTGAGCAGCCATCACATCCAGCAACAGCACAAGATGGCACTGCACTGGACAGCCCTCTCAATCTTAGAATTTTTTAGAATTGCCTTTTTAAAAGCTACAAAGCACAGACAAGCCTACTTTGCCATAAAGTTAATGGGTACTGAATATAGATCACACTCGTTAGGTACCAGCAGATTTAGCAGAAAGGTCAGGTGGTTGCCACTCACTGATTGTCTGTACAAAATGGTCTTTGCAGATTCCATTTATTATCTCTAGAAAAAATTAACTTAGTTTAATTTCAGCTTTCACTGAGATCAAATCTCTTCTAGACCTTGTAACACAATTTTAATTTGTGATTACAGTAAATTGATTTTTGCTTGTAATTATATTGGCAGCCCTAAGGAACAGTTTCAAAATAGATTTTAGGAGCTCAGGTTACTTTCTGTTAATTTCTCCTTGAATATTCGTTGTTTGTAAGAGCCAATAATCACATTTAATAAACTTCCATTTGTGGTAAATGATCCCTCTTAAAACTCTTACTATTAAAACAATGGGATTATTCTAAAGTCAATGAAACTTTGCAATCTGTGGCATAATCTTGTACATAAATTCCACTGATTATATGTAAGAAATGTACACAGTTAATAACTGTATGTACGTTTAAATGCATGTATATAGTAGTAGTAAGTACACATAATGAATAGGGACTAGCTATTTCATATTTACTAACTGAATATTTAGTCTCTGATCAGTATTGATGAATGAGCTGCAACATGTATCTCTGCTTGTCTGCCTGATACTTCAGCTTGGCTTGCCAAGGCAAGTTTACAAGAGCATCACCACTTAACATTTTCCTTCATTCTGTCTCTGTACCTGGTCCTCCTCAAATTTTTCTTCCAATGATAATAATCTAATAAAGGAGTTTTACTTCTAACTGCTTTTTAGAGTAGAAAAATAATTTTTAAAAATTGTACACATAAACAAAGACTCGGCCATTGTAAAAGAATGGCTTTTCTGTCAAAAGTAAGAATACTTTACAGTCATTGAACCATAATTATATCTGCTTCATGCCTCTGTGCTCTAAACGGACATGGCTCACTAACACAGACCAGCATAGGCATCTTTCAGAGTTTATACAATTTATATCAATATTGTGATTACAGGCACAATACTGTAATCTCATTAGACAATCTTCAGACGACTAACACAATTACTGGGACTTGTATAACAAAGAATAACTTGGGCATCTCCTCCCATTTATGATTGTTAACATTATTGTCACCCAAATACGCAGACTTTTGTAGCTTTCCATCTGGTTTCCCTTATTAATTCTAGATATTAAATGAAACTAATAAAAAACCGCATTACTGGAGAGAAGAACTAAAGGAAGGGATGATGTCACTTCTTGGAGCAAGAAAAAGCAAGGATGACTGCACACAGAAGTAATAGCTCAAATGATTTGAAACTGTAGCAGACATGGATGAGCAATACTGATGATAGCTGTCAGATAGGTGAAAATTAGGAAGACAAATAAAGATGAGAATTAAAAAAGTTAATTTCAGCAAGCTATTACATTTTAGGCTAAGAAACTAATCCTGTGTGACTTTATTTCTGACTAAACAAATGCCTTTGGTTAACGTCTATGCAGAGCAGCCACAGTAATTATCCAGAAACCATAAGGATTTGCTATACATCAAAAGCGTGTTACTGTCTGGTAAACAACAAATTAATTTTTAACTAAGGTTGTGGGGCAAGACAAGAGTGCACACAGTGACTTTCAGTCACAACAGGAAAATTTTTCAACTGAAATTAGGAATTGTAGACCAAGGCACTTCTGGGGGCTTGACTAAACCTGTGGATCTTATTCAGTAAGGCTTCACTGCAAAGGCCACACTTTAAAATACACTACTATGTGCACTTTCAATAGGCACATCTGGGAAGAAATTTTCTATGCAGAAACATGGGAGTGAAGGTCTGTTTTACAAAAAGTTACATGTTATCAACAAAGTTCAAAATACATGTTTCCAGAGAACCATGAAAGTGCTAATATGAAAAAAATGTAGATGTTATGAATCTGCTGAATTATCAGTGAGAGCCCTATTGCCATTTATATGTCTGATTTCCCTACCAGACAGCCTGACAACGTTTCTTGTTAGTTTGGTCAGGCTGCTAGGAGGAGCGATGCATTGCACTGCTGATGAAAAACGTCTCTGGGATACTTTATGTTCTACCAGTTCCTCCCACAGAACCTATAGGCAAACTTCAGTGTACAGAGTATCTATGCAGTCCTCAAGATTACACAACTGATTTTTACAACACAACTCTCACTACATCATTTAGACTTTTTATTTCTTGAACAGATGGACTACAAACAATAAGGATTACAGTGAGGACAGGATGCATTTACTTTCAAATCTGAATTAAATCCTATCTGTAAGGTACAGCTTCATGATAAAGATTTATATAGCTGAGGGAGCACTTTATTGTTGACTATTGCAAAAAAATAAACACAATGTTAGTTTCCTTAACAAGATGACCAATTCAGTAATCATTATAGGGTTTATATGAACATTGATGAAAGATAATGTAAATAGTAAATGAAGTGATAAATACTGTTAAGAAATTAAAATGGAGAAAATTATTCTTTTTTTCTTTCCTCCAACTTAAAACCAGTGAGTTTTGTTTCAGCTTGTTTATGAAAAAACAGCAGTAGGTATTGAGTGTTGCAAAAAAAAGGAGTTTTACAGAGTGTATAAGAAAAAAATCCCTGTCCTGGGTCAAACTGAATATTATTTTGAAGTAGTATCCTGTCTCAGAGCAGTCGCCAACACTTTGGGAAAGCGCACGAGAAACAGGCAGGTGCAAAGTGATCTCTCCCAGGCTGCAGCAAATACAGCACTGACTTACCTTGGACAGGAACAGTTCACCCATTCTGAGGCGCTTTCCAAAGGTGAGGCTCCCTTTCCTGTGAAGGTGGTCACATTGGGCAGCACCACAGGTAAGTGCTCGTAGGGTACGGGGACAGCGCCGCACGCCTGGCAGTGAATGATTGGAATGGGCGTTCCCCAGTAGCGCTGTCGAGATATTAACCAGTCTCTCAATTTGTCACTCGTTAGGTCTCCACCTATTCTTTTATTTTTGGCCTGCTGAGTAATAGCTTTTAAAGCCTCCTGCCGAGTCATGCCGGTGATCTGATTGAAAAAGAAACAAAAAATGAGACGTGGAAAAAGAAAGAAAAAATTATAGTTGCTGTCAGTGAAAGTGCAAGAACAAACAAAGCCAGTCAGTTTTCTGAGAGTCAAATAAAACAACAATTTCCCTCTTACCACTGTTTAACATCCTGCTACCCAAGGGACTATTCACATATCAGCTGCTCATTTGAACCTTCTTGCTTAAGGGATTGTGTTGATGATCTGAACAGAAGAAGGCTGAGAAAGAGTCTTGTAGACCCCTTCAGCCATTATTGGCAGATACCTGCACTTACGGCTGATATATTTACCAGATGCCGTATGCCAAAACTTTCAGAATTCTATCACAAACATAAGGTAGAGACCTTATGAGGAAAGTGCAAATGAAAACTGCTTTCCTTCTCCTGTGCTCATTTCAGGTTTTTCTATTCTTGCTTTCACATCCATTTTAACCACTTAGACCCTACCTGGGAATTAAAGTGTCTGCTATTAAAACACATATTTTCAAGAGCTATTTCTAAAGATAAGATTCCTATGTTTCTTGAGGAATCCATGATACCACAAAGGCTGAAGCCACATTTCAATTAATTTGTGAAAGAAGGGTTAGTATGTTCATGTTTAGGTTAAAATTCTATCGAGGTTACGAAATAAGAGCCAACTTTTAACATAGCTTAAATTATTCAGTTTCCATTATAGAACTGAAACCAATACAGAGGAAAGTTCAACCTTCCTCTCCTGTACAAAAGGAAAAAACTTATTTTATTGATACAGCAGGGCCAACATATCTCATCACTAAATTATTCCCAGAAATTTGGTAGCATAAGCTTGGCTTGATTTAAAAAAAAACAAACAAAAAATCTCTTTAATCATACAAAGTATTTGGCATTCTTGAGAAAACAGATTTAGTTTGCATTGTTACTGTAAGCTGGAAAGAAATCCATACTTGTATACTCACCTCTGCAGAATTAATGACCTTCTCCGAACCATCTGGCAATGTCTCAATGACTTCAGTGAAAGAAATGCCCAGATTCTTAGCTACTGCAGCATCTTCTGCACTAGTACTAGGAATTCCTAGAAGGGATGAAAAACCATTTCATTTCTGTGGCACTCTCTTTATAATGACTTACATTTTCCCAAAAGAGTTAAAGAAAATGGTTTAAGAACAGTAAAAATGTTTTTGTATTCTTTAAGCAGTAAAATTTAAACAGAAATAATCGCAACTCAGTAATTTCTCAGTTCCTCTGCAATTCAAACATTCATTAATGTTCTGTCCTTCTTTCAGAAAAGTTTGAAAATTTTATGGTTCTGAAAAAACTAAAAATAAAGCTATAAAATTTGGATAGCTTTACAGAATTTTCAATATAACCACATTATCTAAATATAATGTATTTAAACAATACAAATTTTAATTCTATTTGCTAATATGATAATCAAAGGCTCAACAAAGAACACAGTCTTCCTGTTTCAATATTAATTTATCTCTAATTTCATAGAATTATGAAATAATAGAATATTATTGGAATTAGAAGTCATCTAGTTTCACCATAATGCAACAGTCTCAAACATTACTATCCCTTTAACTTACTATGAAAGACATGATTTGTTTATAAACTCAGGGAAACTATTAAAATAACATCAGTTTGCTATTCAGACTATAACTAGTGAGAACACTTCCTACAGCTATTCAGATGAGTTACACAACTCACACTATTTAAGGCTCCCAAAGCTCTCTTTCCCTCTGCATTTTATTATTTGGGACAGCCATGCATTTTAATTCTGCTCTGGAGGGTTTCACAGTGACTTAAGAAATTTCTTAGCTTGCTTTATTCTCACATGTATTCTGAAACAATATTAAGATACTAACAGATTTATTATTTACACAGAGATACATCTTTTTGCACATTTTCCCCTTCAATAATTTAATTAATAATTTGAACCATCTTGCAATTACTGTCATCTTTAAAAGGCAAAGAAACTTATTCTAACAAGACAATGCCAGCATTAAATTGGTGAAAACTACACACAAAAGTTCTCAAAATATTTGTTGAACACATTGGGATTATTAACTAAACCAGCTTAACAATTGTCTTAGTTCAGGCAGTGAAATGCCAGCTATACTTTAACTCTGCCAATATGTGGAAGTTTGGAAGCAGATGACTAAAGAAAATCAAACGAAACTCCCCTGTGACAAGTAACCCCTTAACTAGAAAAACACAAAATTGCTATTATCTTCCCAGCAGATGTACACTCTTGCCATTTCAAGAACAATGTTTGTATCTTAATTTGTCAGAGAGCCCTGTAGTCTGCAACAGGTGACTTCACAATATGCTCTGCAAATGGAAAAAAGCAGGTCCCACTTTCTGGTCTGCTTCCTTTTGGAAAGATGATGCTATTAATGTACACTGGCAAAGCTCAACAGCTGGCACCCACAGCTTTCCCATGAAGAGCTGGGCTGTTTCCAGCAGACATAAGGCCAAAGTATGTGCCAGCAAACTGGAAGATTTTATGGAAAATTAAGATTAGGTATCTCAATCATTTGGCTTCTCCTATATGAGGAAAAACTTAGTTTGTGAAAACCAGATTCAAATCAAAAATGTAAGATGTGGGATGCTATAAACAAGGTAGAGAGCCCAAATGAGTAATTTCCATCAGCCCTGCGAGGGTCATCCAAGACATTTTTGCACAGCCAGGTGGTTTAATTCAGTCCAGTTGTGCAAAAATACCAATGTTGGCAGCAGTGAAAGCAGCAGCCCCAGGACAGGAAAGAAGTATCAGCATCAGGGAGACAACAACAGGAATTAAGGGATAAGGAATGCACTGGAAAAAGGGAAGAAGACATAACCATTTCCCATTAGGACTGGCATTGAACACTGCCTTCTCAATGCAGCTGAGACCATGGCAAAGCACAAGAGTAAACAAAGAGCTGGGTGGGTGCAGATTAAAATGGATATGGTTTTTAAAACTTAGTACAATTTCTACTTTGATTTATTAGGAGAATCATATCATCTAAGAGGATGTACTTAGCTGCCCAGTTTTGGGACCAGGCTCCAAGTCCAGGAAAGGAGTAAGACAGGCAGATTCATAGGACAACTTTGGGAACAGAAGCTCACTGCAGGTGATTCAGCATCCTCTAGCAACACCCTCCCCCTCCACTAATGAATCCTCAACTCTAAATCATGTCTTAAATTATGGGAATGCTACCTTGAGAGATAAAGGATCTAAGATAACCGTCCAAGACTACCTGAAAACAATTATTACCTATCCTGATCTATTTTACTGGCCTCAAAGCAAATATTATTAGATAAAAGTCAAAGTTGAAGTTTTGTACATTCACCATCTGAAGCATTTCTCTAGAAGCATGTACGCAATTTATGTAAACTTAAGACACACAAAAAAGACGAAAAGTTAGGGTGTTTGCCAAAAAATGGTACAGCTCTGTTTTGATTAAGGATGGTGAGAGACAGCCAAACACATATGTTGTAGGTAACCAATTATCTTAAGATATACAGATCCTCAAACTTAACTCATTAAATGCACTAATTTTATAATGTTTCCATTTAAAATTATCATCCTGTAAATCTCTTCACTCACATAGATTCCACATACCTCCTTTTTCCTCCCTTCTTCCCTAATGGAGAACAGAAATCCAAAATCCAGGAGAGAGAGCCTCTGTGTTCAAATATTTACTACAACAGTACCTGTGCTCCAACACAGCAACTGAAAACCATACTATTCCACTTAAATATCTAATGTCACATACCTATTTTAGTATCAAGATAATTATCAAAACTGGTTTTTGCTGAGATGACTACAGGAATCTCCTGATTGGTAAGCAAATTCACAGCTGTCACTGAAGTAAGTGAGTCTGAAAACAAATGTAATGATATGGTAAGTAAAATATAACAGAAGATATACTAAGAACATCACTTACCATTACAATGCAGTTTATCTTAAACTTACATGAATTTTAAATAACAGTTTTCTTTAAATAAGAAGAAAGTGACAAACCTATTCACATTTCGAAAAAGCTCAGATGTATTAAAAGGCTCACTAAGTCATATTGATAAATTACCATGATTAGAAAACATACTTATAACAAGCACCTTTATAAAAACAGAGTAAGATTTGGATTATAACAAAAAATTGAGTCATTGATCAAAATACAGGCTGCTGCAAAGTTGTACAAACTGGTTTTATTAAGCCTTGAATTATGTACTAGCATACAATGCACACAATGTTACAAAATCCCACCAAAATCAGATAAAACTGCAGGGGAGCATATATCCTTAGGATTTAATTTCTTACAGAAGAACTACGAAGCATGTGACATCTGTTTTCTAACTTGGGCTAAAAACCACCTAAGTAACCTAGTGATATCCAAACAGGATATTAATATTAAAATCAATATTCATATTCAAATTACAGATGAGGAACCCGATGTCCAAGCAAGGGGAAATAGGAGAGGAGAGAATTAAGGGTTTTATTAGAGAACTAATAAACTGAAATTGATTTACCATGTGCAGACTGGGTGGCTTAGCAAGAAGAAATCCAAATCTGAATACTCTAAATTTTGAGGATTTGAACCCCAGATCTCAATTTGGGCCTATTTCTAACTTTTTCAGTGCTTTTAAATTGATGTTAATTACAATCATTAAAATATGGGCTGCTAAGAGCTTCCTTTCACCTTTCTTCATAGCTAAGCTGAGGCTATGAAGGCTTACATTGCAATGCATAAAATCTGCTTGAAGTAAAGTAACAGCAATTTTGAGAACAGAGCTGTTTATTAGGTGTGTCATCACGCTTCTTAACACAAATTATACATTTATTTATTTCTGATTACTACTTTTCCAAATTTTAGATGTCTGAGGTATCCATATTATAAAGAAAATTTCCACATTCCAACCACCACATGCAGCTTTCCTCTGTTTAAAAAAAGCACAAAAGGGACAATTTCATTTTTTAAAAGCAACTAACCAAAAAGCGTCATGAGCAGGAAGCTGAGTGGGCAGGACACTGCTTTTAAAAATAACTTCTCTCTTCCACCCAGCAATAATTTTCATTTTATGCTGGAACCCAAAATATTATCTACAGTTTATGAAGGTGCTCTTTCCTGTGCCCATTTGCTCACATCATTATCATCAGAACCAAAAAGAGAGAGTGGTACAGGTACAAGTGTAAGACAATGTATGCAGAGAATTGTAATGAGATAATGAACAACGTAAAGGTCAAATCTTTATCTCAGGCACCTCCTGCTGTCCACACCATTAGACTTACCAGATTCTAAATTAACATACATTTTTCTAGGCAAAAAAAAATTGAATGTTTGACAACTGGTTGTTCAATTTATTGAAATAAGAGTAGCCTAAAATACAGACATGTACTTCAAGACTAAAGGTTTTAGAACTTTCAGTTACTCTGCTACACAATTGCTCTTTTTCTCTCCTAGAAAACATAAAACCATACCCTCCTACTTATTGAAATGAGAACACAGTGAAGAAAGAGAATTGCAGGACTATGCCCATTGAAAAGAAAACAATTACATTTAATTAAATTAAAATTTCAGTGATAGTGAGGAATTTTTTTAAAAAAAGTCTTGCTTAATGTGAAAATAGGGTCTATGCAAGGCCATCCAAAATTTCTTTTTATTTAAATGCCATTGTTGGCCTTTTATATGTCAAATTACAATCTCAGCTAATTTCAACTGAAGAATGTCTGTTCACAAGTAGCAGGAGTATACAATAGCAGAGTTATGTGCAATTGTGCCTCTTTTTTGAGTACTTTTGGCTGTCGTCATTTCAGCTCAGAGTTTCGTAATTTAACTCAGCTAAAAGCTTTAAGCTTATTGTTAACAGACATACAAAAAACCTTTTGCAAGTATTTCCACTTAAAAACAATATAAAAATATACCATTGTCCTTACTAAAAGCAAATTTTGCACATTTTTGGTTTGGCTTAAGGCACAAGATCCAACAAAGGTACAGGCACATGCATGAATCTGTGTTTGTGCAGTTAGTGCTTTGACTTGGTTCAACTGCAAGAACTACAAATTTGTTCTCCAAAATTCTCCCAGCTTTTCTCACCTCTTAGACAAGGACTTTATGTACTCAACCCAATCAGGCTCCATGTTTCTTTCTACTAGCAAGCAAACTTTTTAAAGGTAGAAATGAAGTATTTAACAAAGCAGGTTCTGTATAATAACACAATTTTCCACAAGATGCTGTTGAAATCAGATGTTATATAGACAATGAAGCCCCATCTTTACCAGTAAGGGAAAAAAATATTGAACACCAGCCTGAAGTAGAAACAAAACATATTATATTTACTCTTGTCATATCCAGGTTTTCCAAACAATAAAAAAAAAATTAGACCATGGATGCTAAATACAGGCAGAATTGGTGGTTGGAGACTTCAGGAAAGCAGCTAACAACAATTAAAGCATTATCAGTTGACTGTGCAAGTCATGAACTGCCATAGGGATACTCTGATTTTACTCCATTAGAGTCTTGTATTTACAAAGGATCTGCATAGTAGAGTATTATTTTACTATCTATCAGTTTTCCACTTTGCTATGTATTAGTGATAAAACCAGAGAATTCGTTTTTATTTAAAAACAATTTTTTAAAATAAAGTAAAAAATTAGTGATATATTGACCTTTTTAGATTCCTTATGACAGGAAGAAAACATTGCTGGTGCAAGAATTAGTTCTGCTGTCTTTGTGCGAATGACAACTTACCATACAGACATGAGATTTTCCAATGGGCTGACACAGCCAAATTTGGGCTATTCATTTCTGGTGGATGAGGAAATAAGACTCTGTTCCGTTGCTTTTATATACTATGAAGTGTAACAACTATTATAAAAGGAATTCTAGCAGAGCTGCTCTTGCCACATCTGAAGCCAGGACAGGCTGATGTGACACTGTGTGACATAGCAAGAATCAAAGGCCTGCTTGCTCTCAACAGGAACAGCTCCTGCTCAGCTTGATGCACATTCTATAAAGATCATTCTTTATAATTGTTGCTCTTCTACAACAAATTGCAGTATGAGAAAAATACCACCTTTCCCTGGGATGAACTCCCTCTGCAAGACTTCCTTAAGACTGCTATTCCCATGCAGCAGTCTGTGAGTTGGTAAGATATATAAATGGGAAGTTCCATAAATGGCTTCAGGTGTATAGGTGTAAGCTGCTAGCTTCTCTTCTGTTACCTTGCCATTAACCTGAAAAAAAGCAGAAAAGAATTCCCACTGGCAGTGCGGTGGTTATAGATTTCCCTTCCTTTTCACACAGCTAACGAGTCTACATCACCCTGCAGAAATACACAGATCCAAATACCAAAACCAGACACAATCCCACTATAGAAATTTTCCAGAATCAAACCTTGACAAACTCACTTTTAGGCCTTGATAAAGTTGCTTTACAGTTTTGCCTTAGTTTATCCAAATATATCTATAAAAATATAATTCTAATCCCATATGTAATATTGCACTGTGCCACTGAGATAGACTCAATCCCTGGCTAAGCCACCCAGAATCCTTCTATGCACTTTTAATATGCATGCCTTGTTTCCAAGAAACTGGAGGGAGATGCTGCCTCTGAAATCTGAAGATAATTTAGGATTTTCTCAGCTACAATGTGACTTTACACCATACTTCTCTGATGAAGTGAATGCTGCAAATTATGTACAGAAATAAAATAACAAAAGGTGGTACAACAAACAACTGGACATAAAATGTAAATAGTAAACTTCAAAGACTTTTAAAGAATTTCCACCTGTAACTATCAACAAGGTTTATATCTTAGATCAACTAACTGTGGAGTATAAGGGGGTCTTGGAAGGAGATTTTTCTGTAATAAGTATTGATAGAAATTTTCAGAAACAATTGATAAAAACAACTTTAATACAAAGTTATATATACAAATACAAATAGAAGTACTGCATCTTTTAGCAGGGTGTAAATCAGAGGTATTTAAAAGGTTTAATTTGTCTCAATTTGAAGTTCTGAAAAATTCAGTACTTTAAAATAAAAAGTCACTTTAAAAATGTTAGACCAGAGTAAATAATCACAATAAAACTTTGAAGTACAAGGACTGAAATCTGATCAGAAATTTCAATCTCTGAAAATCTCTTCCGTCACAATCATTTTCATGGAGCCTTGCTCATATCTTGACAAAAAAGGGGAAAACCGAAGTCCTTCTGTAGATAATTTTTTTTTCAGGTTTCCATTTCTCCTTCTCCTTTCTTTCTATCTAGACTTCTCTGTAGCTCCATTACTACCTAATAGTGCTGTTTCCATTCTTTTAATTATGGGAATTCAGTAAGTGAAATAATGGAGATATGTAAGGAAAGCAGTTTGCCTGAGGACAGCTTGGGTCTGACAGAGAAGGTGCCATGCAGAGAAAAGCAAAAGCCCAACTAGACCCTAGCTGACATGTGCAGACATGTGCAGTGCCACTTGATAGTGCACTTGGCACAAATAATCTGGCTTTCAGGGAAGCTTATTAGCTGGCACGTATTTTGGCATAAATATACACAGCCAATTTGCATCCACTTGAACACGCAAACCCTTTCCTAAGGAGGATAGGAGGGAGTATCTCTTCAACACTCAAGTAGTGTTCTTCAGGAATCTGTGCTGGTCTGTGCATGAATATAATAATAATCTTTTTTAGGAGATTTCAAGCTTTTAAGATCTGAAAATCCATTCCCATCACACATTTCAGGGGTTGCAGTAAGCCCAACAAAGAGAGTAGCAAATGAAATTTCTGACTTACCTTTAGCAAGAAGTCAAGAGAGCACCCAACGCAGTCACCTATCCAATTTGCTTGCATTTCTTTAATACCATACCACTCAGGGAGATCAGATAAAGCATCAAACATGGCCTTAAGCAACAAAAGAAAGAATGAGGACATTCAGCTTTTGTAAGCATATGAATTAATACTATGGGTTTGATTATAACTAACAGCAAAATGGCAAGGCGCTGGTAAAAACATTGGAAGAGGTGTTTTATATTGCTGCTACCTCAAATAATCTCTGTGAGAATAGAACTAACATGGTACTAGCCAGAGGTATGCCACTGCTAACAGAGACCCTGTTATTAAAAGTGGCCTTTCTTTTGAATGGACTAGACCTTAAGATACAGCAAGAAAAAAACTTAGATGAAAACAAACACAGAAAATATTCCCAGTGGTTGTAACTTCTGGGAAGTGTAGACAACCTAGTGAGCTGAACAAGACTTAACAGTTGTGCTTGCAGATATGAAGCCTACATTTGTATTAGCTGTTTTAGACAATAGCCCAGAGATTGCAGTCAGACAAAAGGTGTTAATATGTCCTAACATTTTCAAGCTCTGGCTTAAAATAGCATTAGAGTTTCTAGCTATCTATTTTTTCCTATTTCATATTGGTATTTTACCAAGCACTACAGGCTGCAAAATTGATTGGGATCTTTAGGTTCTACCATCCTGCAAAAACAGCACTAATCATAATGACAAAGCTTTGTATAAAATAAAATTATAAATAATACTACAATAATATCATTCTTATAAGTGACCAGCAATGAAGCTGGGCCTAGAGGGGTCAAGGGTCTAGAGCCACTCTTCCGAAGAGTGGCTGATGCACCTGGGGATGTTTAGCCTGGATAAAAGGAGGCTCAGGGGGGACCTTATCACTCTCCACAACTGCGCAAAAGGAGACTGTACTGAAATGGGGGTCAGTTTCTTCTCTCAGTTAACAAATGACAGGACCAGAGGAAATAGTGTGAAGTTGCACCAGGGGAGGATACTACAAAAAAATTCACCATTGAAAGTGTTGTCAAACATTGGAACAGACTGCCCAGGGAAGTGCTTGAGTCATCATCTCTGGAGGTATTTACAAGACCCACAGACATGATGCTTAGGGATAGGGTTTAATGATGGACTTGGCAGTGCTGGCTTGAAGGCTGGACTTGAGAATCTCAGAGGTTTTTTCCAACCTAAATGGTTCTATACTATGCAGCAATGAAGAAATTCAGTCCTTTACTAGCCATAATGTCCAACAACCAACTTGTAACTTCTATGTATATTTGCACTCAACAAGAGATAAATCTATATATTTATGTGCTTTCAGATGTGTGGAATGGAAGCATGAAAGTCTATTCCAAGTCAGCTAGTATTGGTCTAAAAAGTTTGAACAGCATGATTTTAATAAATGGCATCTATAACAATGTAAAGAAGACAGATAACTTAAAGTTCATCTCATTTCTCACTTCATAACACTTCACATTTTTGTTATGAATACTGTGACTGTCCAAAATCTTTACTTTGGCAGAAGTACAGCCAGATGCATGAGTCATTTGGACAGATGGTGAATATGCTGAACAATTACAGTTAAAATCTAAGAATAAGGCAACATGTTGAATAATTTCTCCTTCAGCTGTGACTCTCAACATCAAATGTGCAAGCTCTTTATTATCTCAGTAATTTCTAACAACCTGCAAGGATGGACAGCTACTACGTGCTGTTCCAATGAAACACTAGGTAGGTGGATAATTAGTGAATGCACACTTAATTCTTCTCCAAGAATGCATTTCAAGTTCTGTTTTAATGACATACTTAACTAATTTCAAAGTGAAAAGTTACTGTAAGAATGACTTTCTACATTACTGCTCTGTTGTATATCTGTCATTCAGAATATAACAAAAGCCATGTCCTTTGTAAGCCATAATATTACACCACCATTTGGGATTTTTAGTGCTTTCTACAATTTTAAGAATCAAACCAATTTACTGATTTATAAATAAAAGAACGCTAGGCTTTTGGAGAGATTTTTATTACACTATAATCAGTTTTAACTCACAATTGCAAGCATGCTTTATCACAGAGAATTCAAAGTTTGGAATATTCTCATTAATTGCACCATTCCAGAAACAGCCAAGCTTTATCTACCATGATGAATCTATGTACTTATATAATTATGAAAGAATAAGAAATAATTAGCGATATATAAAATATATCTCTATGCTATCTATGTGTATCTCTATACATACACACAATACCTAGATACATTCTTTGTAAGAACTTTATACATTTAAAAAAGAATGAAATTGTGTCAGTACACACAGAACTGGCTGTTCATATTAGAGATCCATTCTAATCTATATCACATTTTGCTGCCAGAAGCAGCTAATTGTGCATGTGTTCTACTGAAACTGTACAGTCTGTAACTGCTTGCCAGCAAAGCTTCCTAGATGTTTTCTTCACTGCAGTATGCACACACCAAGATTGTCAATACCAGTGTGATAATGATTTTACTGTAATTCATTTGCCTTATTAGAAGCTACAGTCTACAGTTTGACTTAACCCAGTTCTTTTCTTGATAATGCAATTACTTCATGCAACTAAATACAGGAAGAGCCAACTTTACTTCATGTGAATGAAGATAACTAAGCTCACTCTGCATGATGACGAAGCCTAGCAGGGTTTGCAAACATAAACCCTCCATAACTTAATTTATACATAAACAGTTTAGTGCGATACAAAACAAAAAACCCAAGCAAACAAAAAAACTTCAAAAACGTTCAAAATGGAATTATGATTCTCAGTTCTTTGTACTCAACAAACTTCTTAGATTTCTTCTCAAGGCTATGAACAGCAGGTGAAGCAGAAAATGAACAAACAAGTTACCTGGTGTTAAAAAGGCAAATAACATAGAATATTCACACAGCTAGCATGTTAGTGTTTCTGAATGGTAAATTAACCTAGGGTACTCACTAGCAGGAAAGCAGAGAAACATTCAATTCTTACATGAATGCCCTTGCACATTCAAAATGTATAAAAGCAGAGAAACATCAATTGTTACATGAATGCACTTGTACATTCAAAATCCATCTGTGCAAACTAGGACCTTTTAAATGACAGCTTAAGGAAAACCCTTTAAAAAAGCTTTTCATTTTCAAATCCAATTGCACTACACCCTGCAAAATACATGCCCATAAATATATGCAAAAACTATTATTAACAGTAAAAAAATTACGTGTAGAGTATTTGGGTCTTAACCAATGCTAGCATAGAAATCCCTGAATATTTTAAGTTACTATTTCGAAAGTTAAATATTAACTCCCATGAATTTTGCTTCCATGTTCTTTTTTAAAAATCATTGCCACACTCAGTAGAACATTTTCTGCGTCATTAGAGTAGTCCCATGAATTCTGCTCCAATTTTTATTTTGCAATTTGCCAACGCTAGCAGTGTTCAAGGCCAGGTTGGATGAAGCCTTGAGCATCTGGGTCTAGTGGGAGGGGTCCCTGCCCATGGCAAAGGGGACTGGGACTAGATGATCTTTAAGGTTCATCCCAACACCTTAACATTCTATGATTCTGTAATTACTGATAATTTCCATTTAAAAAAATGCTGATCATTGTATGAAAATGCGTATATAACTTCTCTTTATTTCTGCCTCAAATTTGTTAACACAGAGAAGACAATCACCAAGAAGACTCCTAGCACACAGGCAAATAAACAAAAGTAAAACCATGTTGGAGTCAGCAGGGGACAAAGAACAGCAGCATTTCAATCCAGTGAACAGAAAGTGATAAGATCATCAAATAAATCAATTTTCAAATTTCTGATGATAACTTAATAGTGAGAAATTTGGAAACATGAGGTAGCAGAGTCTTTCTGCTTTCATTTTTCATTACTTGGGAAGACACAAGAAAACTTTAAATGCAAACATCTAATTACAGGAGAAATTACTCCCATCTTAATTAAACATAAGTCAAGGAATAGCATAAATACATTTTGGCAGTCTTTCAGATCTAAAGATAGACAGACTTGGGAAAAGCTAACGAAATCAAAGTTGTGTTCAGGGATGAGAATGATTTAAAGGCTCTTACACCTGAAAAATTTGGAGACTGAGGATAAACCAATGTTTCATGGACTTGTTTACTCTTTCAGAATACGCAGAAAATTCTGGCACAGCCAGAATATGAAAGTCAACTACCTCAGATGATCAGAGAGTAACTAAATCAAGATGAGTTTGCTGAAAATTCATCAAAGACAATGATGAGCAGGCCTGAAACTGGAAGTAACATGTTGTATGTAAAAAACTGATCTCACATTTCTAGTTGTTTAGTCTGCTGAGGATCATGACAGAAACAGATCTTCAGTTAAGCAATTTTCAGGCAAAAAAGATCCAGAAAATCCAAGAACATAAGTGCTTTACAATTTCCTAAGAGCATCTCAACTCCAAAAGTCCTCCTGCTTGTAGTTCAAAGAAAGATTCTGCTGAACCCCTAAAAAATTCTGTCTCTGACTTCATCAACTAAAAGTTTTATTAGATCAATACCTGCTACTAATTTCATACTTAGTGAGAGTAATTTAACTCCTCTATGACAGTAAATGAAATAAAGTGGAAAATCTAAATATAAGCTATATAGTCAAAAGTATACTCTTTTTTTAACGAAGACACTTCAATGAAGTTTGCGAGATCTGCAAGGTAACAACAAGATCAGAATAAAAATTCAGCAAAAGGCTGCATTTCAGAAGAATGCAATTAATTAGCATAATGAAATTGCATTGTACTAAATTACAATAATTTTTAAAAGCTTTGCTTCTGAGGAAGAGTCAAATAAATATCCAAGCTCTGTTTGGATTAAAATGAAATTCTTCACTTCATTTGAGCAAACTCCCAAAAGAGCAACTAAATGTAAACTAAAGATTACACAAAATCATTTAATACAACGTAGTATATTAACATATATTGAAGTTCAAGAAACTAAAGCTAGGCTGCCCACTGTTTTATTTTGCACTCCATTGCAGTGTTCCAACTGTGATTATATGGTACAGCTTCTGCTGGCTTTTAATATCTTCTTGTTTTACCATTTCTTCTTCTCCTTCAGTAGTTTC